AGATTAGGTACCAAAGATATCCATGGATTTATGGATCTATATAAAGGGGTGTGTACTCCGTGCCTATGTAGGTAATTCAAATGTTGATAATCGGCATCTTCCTTGGTCACGGGTTACCGCAGATCGGAGTCGAGGGGTATTCAAAGGGGTAACGGAACAATTATCATTAGGGCGGGTCGATCCCATTGAAGTTGTCACGGGGTGCCGAAAATATCGACTAGAGATCTAACTATGGAAGGAACTAGCTGAAACGCACCTGAATATTATGGAAAAGAGGGTACTTTTGTGCAAGCATGGATTTCTCTTGAAAACGGTTCCCAGGGAAGGAAAGTAAAGCGAGACCTGCATGTGAGGTACACATAGTAACGCCCGATGGCGCCAGAAAACATGCTGGAATCCACCTAGATCGGCCTTTTCTTTTCTTTTCTATTTATGTTTTTTGCTTGTTTTTTTCCTTTTTTTGTCTCTTCTAATCTACAGGGTTGTACTCCGTACTCCGTAGAGTACTTGTCTCGCACGTCCCTGGCACCCCTCTCTCTCCACGCCTTGAGATAATGACCTCTAATAGGGCAATTAAGCCGGTTAACAAGAACCGGTTCTCCATGGAAGAAAGAACCTGGTACTAGTAACGTCATCTGCCGGGGGTTTATGTATACTTAGTTAGGGATTTAACTATTCTACATCAAGCATAAATGCCAATGTGCTAATGCTTGAAACAAGGATCTTGATCAATAAGAATGAGACCCGGGAAGTAGGGAGTCAAGATCATAGGCAGTTCCCCGGAGGAGGGGTTGATGCGCTCGAATGTTCTTGGCCTCGACTAGAGCCCGTTCTCCAGGAATGGGGATTCCCCATTCCTTATTTCTTTTTCTTCCCCTTTCCCCATAGGCTATATCGTTAAAAAATCAATAATTCTTCCAGATAGTGGGATTTTCTCCATGAATAGGAATGACTTGACTAATCTGCAAAGAATGTAGACTAATAAAAAAGGGGGTTCTAGAACGACTAAAGGGACCGCAGGGGAAAAATGGACCGTGTCATGTGTACGATCGACGGGGGTTGTGGAGTGCCCAGGCTTGGAGAGACGGGGTTGGAGGGAGAGAGTAGTATATGATATAGGATAAATAGGGTATAGGATATAGGATATAAGATGTATTAACTATATAGAAAGAGATATACTATACTAACTAGATCAATGGAAGATATATCAAGTGATATATATAAAGAGTTCTTCTAGAAACAGCTTAATCCTTTAATACTTATAATATAATAATATAATATAGGCAAATAGTGGGGGGAAAGGTGACGAGGTCTTCTGATCAGAAAAAAATCCCCCGAACCGGATTTCTCATTTTCCCCACCTGGGCTTTTCCAATGGTCCACCCCTTTGGATAAAGAGGGCTGCCCTGGTTCTGTTCTTGTATCTTTCTTGTTTTCTCCCGCTTCTTCCGTTTTCTCTATATTCTACCTATTACGCCCTTTATACTCATATTCTTATACCTCGACTTACATTTACTCGACTACTCAACCACTCACCTCTCACTCCTCTCCCATTCGAACAATTTCAACGTTTCACTTTTTTTTTTTTTATATAACGGTGAAAAGTGACGATATTTCACCCTTTCTATACCTGGCCGCTTCTCTGATACGTCACGCTCCACTTTTCTGCCACGGGAGCTGGTCCCCGTATCCCAACACCGCCACCTCGTAGTTCTCCCCTCCTCCGTCATTACCCCCTCTTTAAATCCTGGAGGACAGTAAAATCAGCCTCTCTCTCTCTTAATACCTCTTTTTTCACTACACATTCTGGAAGATGCGAAACCCATTTGATTTGGACTTTGAGAGCGTTGATGGAGACTCCGAAACCGCCCAGGATTTCGAACTCCCCGAACAACATGTGCACCAGCATGTGGAGGACAAACAACGGGAACAACTGGACCTCAACTATCGTCCAAAACAGAGAGATGATGGAGACCGTTCTTTGCTGCAGGATGAGGATGAGGATGCGATGAAGCGTCGATTCATTGGTACTATTGATCAGGGTACAACGAGTACACGATTCATCATCTTCGACTGCACAGGTGTTCCTGTCGCCAAATACCAAACTGAATTCCATCAGATCCATGAACATCCAGGGTAGGTGTTAAACCCCCTCCTTGCAATCCCCGACTCAATATTAATTGCCCCGCACCCCCACAGATGGCACGAACAAGACCCTTACGAATTGGTTGAGTCGGTCTATATCTGTATCGAAGAGGCCATGAAATCATTCCTTGCCCTTGGCCACTCCACATCCGACATCGAAGCCATTGGCATTACCAGTCAAAGAGAAACCGCCTTGGTCTGGGACTGGGAGACCGGCGAGCCCCTGCACAACGCAATCACGTGGACCGATACTCGTACCGTCAACCTGGTACGGGAACTGAAGGAAAGGCCCGGCGCCGATGAACTCCGTAATATTTGCGGTCTACCCCTCTCAACATACCCCTCATCTGTCACGCTACGATGGATGCTCGACCATCTGCCCGATGTCAAGTCGGCGTACGATGATGGCCGAGCTGCATTTGGAACCGTCGATAGTTGGCTCATCTACAACCTTAACGGTGGTCCTCAGAACAAGCTTCTGGTTACGGATGTGACCAATGCCTCACGAACAATGTTCATGAACCTCGAAACCCTCCAATACGACGATCGCCTCTTGAAATTCTTCGACATTGACCGAACCAAGATCCGTCTGCCCGAGATTCTTCCCTCGGCCGATCCCGAGGGTTTCGGTAAAGTCGCCGAAGGGCCGCTGGAGGGTGTTCCCATCACCAGTTGTCTGGGTGACCAGGCTTCGGCTTTGGTCGGCCACTGTGCCTTTTCTCCGGGAATGGCCAAGAACACTTACGGCACTGGATGCTTCCTTCTCTACAACGTGGGTGAGAAGCCGGTGATCTCGAAACACGGTCTCTTGGGCACTGTGGGTTTCCAATTAGGGCGAGACCGCAAGGCCGTCTACGCACTGGAAGGCAGTGTGGCTGTGGCCGGCAGTGGGGTCTCTTTCCTAATGAATAACCTCGGCTTTTTCCGCGACTCGCGTAAGGTCAGCGATTTGGCCGCCAGTGTGCCGGATAACGGAGGCTGCATTTTCGTCACTGCGTTCAGTGGTCTCTTTGCTCCTTACTGGATCGATGATGCTCAGGGAACTATCTGTAAGTCTCGAACACGGTGTTTCGCCTCGCAGAAACTCAAATCGCTAACGTTCACCAGGGGGAATCACCGCCCACACACAAAAAGGACACATTGCCCGTGCAACCATGGAAGCGGCCTGCTTCCAAACAAAGGCTATTCTGGACGCCATGGCAATGGACAGCGGCAAGGGCCTGACAGAACTGGCTGTTGATGGCGGCATGAGTAACTCGGACGTTTGCATGCAGGTACGTTTCAATGTCTTTCCTCTCAAACCCCCTAGACCACACCGCTAACTATTATTTTTCTTTTAGACCCAAGCCGATATCATTCAAATCCCCGTCGAACGTCCCTCAATGCACGAAACCACCGCCCTCGGTGCCGCAATCGCCGCCGGCTTCGCCATCAACATCTGGAAGGATTTCTCCGACCTTAAGCATATGAACCGCGCCAACCGAGCCTCGTTCACCCCCTCAATGTCCGTCAAAGCCAGCACCCGCATGTATAAAAAGTGGTCCAAGGCCGTGGAGATGTCGCGCGGCTGGATGGCCGACGAGGATAGAGAGGAACACAACGACGACGACGACGAATAAACAACTTTTATACATATTCTTTGAGATGACCGCAATCGGCTCGTCGACCCCGCGGCCCAATTTGTGCATCTCATACCATCCACGATAAATACACACGCGCAAGAAGCAAGAGAGATTGAGACGGAGAGGTTTACATGAAGATCATATCAACCGGATATCGCACATATTCTCTCTCGGAGATACCCGGATTGTTTTTTTTTTCAGGGGGGACATTTGGACACCTCGCGTTTCCATTTATACATATTTAGAGAATTTCCACCGACTAGAAAGTCCGTCCTAATAGGCGTTGTCCGCCAACGCCCATGTCCCCCTTCATCATGACCGTTATGACGGGAGTCGTTCAGAAGAAGAGCTGGGGATTTCCTTTTTTTTTTTTTTGCTGTTGGCTTGCTTCCTCTCCTGGATCGAGCTCGACTTAGCACTTGTGTATATACAACCCGTTCGTGAGGAAATGAAGGAAAAAAAATTCTAAATATATCATCTCTACATCTCAACAGTGCAAGGTACTCTGTGCGCTGGCGCAAAATCCAAAAAAACACTGAATATCAAAATCACTAAATATGAAACCCCCATGGATACTTCCCCCAACTCTAACCCTATTACAACATCCCCCATCCCATGTCATCTCCAGGGCTCTCCAAAATCCTGTATTCATCACATATTTCTCCAAGCAGCCATACCGAACAAACATTCCATGACATCATGACAGTGGAGAAGCTCAATCACGGTTGGCGTGATTATTTAGTGCCTGCCCAGGTGGGTAGCGGTGATGCGCCGGTGAAGTCATGATCCCCGCGGAGCCGGACTTGGTTTGATTTTAGGGTTTGGGGTTGTTGCTATATTTGGATCTACTGCCTTAGGTTTGGCATGAGGTGCGGAGATGAGAAGTCTTGATGATGGGGGATCATTGCCTGTTACGTTGGCAACAAATGATTTGATCAAGATAGATTGTGACATACACGTACAAATACAAAGCACAGGGAATATGTACAGAGATCAATTCAAGTTTCAATGGTATTACGCAGGCAAAAAAGCGGCGAGTCGATAACCACAGTCAACAAGCGAAGATCTGAGACATGATGTAGTAGAGAGAGAACCAAGGAAATATGGTATTTTCAATAGACGCCCGAATGATTGGGGGATGCACAATGAAGATGAAGAACAGGGTGGGTGTTTGTAGAGCCAGCAAGACATGGAAATGAAAAGGGGAGATTACAGAGTTGTGTGGAGATGAACTTATTCATTGACCGTGGGTGCTGTTCCTGCTGCTGCAGACGGGTTGAGATTGGTCGACTGCAAAGCTTCGGGAAGCTTCAGCGGCGCACTAGGGGAAGACTTAAGCTTCTTGATCTTCTCGCCCTTCAGCACTTGCTCCATCTCATCCTTTGTGAGTGTCTCGTATTCGATGAGCGCCTTAGTCAAGAGCTCGAGTTCGTCGCGCTTTTCGGTCAGAATGTTGGTTGCTCGGTCACGGGCCTCCTCTACAAGCCGGCGCACTTCACCCTCGATCTCTTGCTTGGTTTCCGATGATAGGCTATCGTAGTTTGTAGACAAGTCGACGTTGCCAAGTTTCTTGGAATATCCGAACCGGGTGATCAGCGTGAAGGCCGTCTCGGTGGCACTTTGAATATCCTAGAGAGACTGTTAGTATTGAGAAAAGAACAAAAAGACAACCAGTAAGACTTACAGCTGAGATACCACTAGTGACATTGTCGTGGCCGAAAACTAGCTCTTCAGCAGCCTTGCCACCCATGGAGACGGCGATGTCTGCCAAGTATTCGGTGTAGTTCCTTGAAACAGTATCCATCTCCGGCAGGAAGTGGGTGATACCAAGGGCCATACCACGGGGAACAATGGTGATCTTGTACAGCGGAGTGGAGGAAGGAGAGAAGTGTGCAACAAGGGCATGACCAGCCTCGTGGTAGGCAGTCAAGAGCTTGTCCTTGTCTTGGATGATGCGACTGCGAGCCTCGGCGCCCATCATAATCTTATCCTTGGCCCAATCGAAGTCGAACGGGCCAACATTAGCCTTGCGGTCACGGCTGGCATGGACTGCAGCTTGGTTGACCAAGTTCTCCAGATCAGCACCGGAGAAGCCGGGAGTGCCTCGTGCAATGACTCCGATGTCAACATCAGTACCGAACTGGATTTCCTTCATGTGATGTCTCAAGATGTCCATTCGGCCGCGAACATCAGGTAGGTCCACAACGACCCTACGATCGAACCGACCAGGTCGAGTGAGTGCCTTGTCCAGCAGTTGAGGGTAATTGGTAGCAGCAATGATGATGACACCACTAGTCTGGGAGAATCCGTCGAGCTCCGTGAGCAACTGGTTGAGCGTCTGCTTGACATAAGCAGCATCGCGCTCGTTTCGCTTTCCACCTATCGCATCCAGCTCATCGATGAAAATGATAGCCGGAGCCTTGCCACGGGCCTGAGCGAACAAATCACGAACACGCTTGGCACCAACACCAACGTATACCTCATCGAATTCAGATCCAGACATGTAGAAGAATGGGACACCCGCTTCGCCAGCAACAGCACGCGCAAGCAAAGTCTTACCAGTACCGGGAGGACCGACCAAAAGAACACCCTTGGGCAGCTTACCGCCTAGGGAAGAGAAACGATCTGGGTTGAGAAGGAATTCCACCAGCTCCTGCAGCTCATCTTTAGCCTCGTCACAGCCATGCACATCAGTGAAGCGAGCGGTTTGCTGTTCAGGCTGAGCTTCCTTGTCCTGCGCACCTCGAACGTTCTTCAGAACGCCAGTGGTTTCAACCAAGATAGTGACCGTGACCAGAGAGATATATGTGAAAAAGCCGAAAATGAGCAAGAATTTGACCCAGCGGAACACTGTGCTTCCGAGAGACTCGTCGACCACAACGTAAAGAGGAGCGTCCTTAGCACCGGTACCGTTTTGTTTTCCCATTCCGATTTGACTGCCAGTAGCCCGGGCAGCGACCGCTTGGCCCACTGCCTGGAGCTGTTCATGGCTCAGATTGTGGTTTGACCCAGCGAAAGTGCCAGCTCCAGCTCCAGCTCCAGCGTCAGTGCCACCGACGCTTGCCTGGGCCTGTTGGACTAATGCTTCAGTTGTGAGATCGCCTGCAAAATAACCGCTCCGGTGTCGTTCGATAACAATACCCGGCATTTTGGCACGCAAAAGAGCCGAATATAGAGCATTTTGAGCATCTGCGTTGTTCGGGCTCTTGTTGGCGACCTTCTCCTTCTGAGCAAGTACATGATGCCAGGATCCCCCGAACAAGAACCGTTGCTGTTGTATCTTCGAAAGACCATTGACCTTCGGGGCCGTGCGTAGGGAGTTAAGGCGGAATGGAGTTAGGGTTGAGTAAGAACGAGCACCGGGGATAGCATGGCGGACTGGCGTAAAAGATGAGATGGACCGAAATGCGTTGTCTGTTATCGATGGTTAGACATGATTCATCAATGAAATTTGCTCAAGCCAAAACATACTTCGGTTCAGCAATGACGACCACGTTTGTTGCGAAGGCCGGCTGACGATCTCCGCTCGTAGGGCTGCAATGGAAACTCCCTCTAGGTATCCAGGTAAGGTCGCGCGTTGAGAGACCTGTATCTATCAGCATAGAGTGACGCCAAGTGGATGATAGGTTATGCCATACTGTTTCATTTTCTTGTCGGCTGGGCTGGAGAGACTCGCTGACATTGGTCGTCGTCGTTCGCCCTGTCTGCTTCCAGGGAGCGGACAGGACGTTATACATTGAAGGCCAGAGATCCGATGTCACGGCAGCAACATTCTAGTAGCAGGTTGCTTGCGTCAGTTGTGAGATCTGGATGAGAAATCGCGAAGTGGTACTCACAGGCATGGGGATCGGGACTTGGAAGGCCATGACTGTCCGATATACAGCGGCACTCGGCCGGGTGCGAGGATGGGCGTGTGCTCCTCTTGGTTGAATTTACAACCGAAGGTAAAATTTAATCTGTTAAACCCGAGTTGAAGAGACTGACATCGCTGACGCAAGAATGAAGATAGAGAGGAAGGCGATAGTGTGCTCCGCTTTGATGCGGCGAATGGCGACGGCCACTTGTGTCCGAATGGGCGACCGTATAATACCACGTGATTCTAAATGGCACGTGCACGATATATCCGGAGGCTTTTTATAGTGTCAATAACTCTCATCAGCTCCGATGAAGGAACGAAGAAGACATTTTAGTAAAAAATGTCGTATGATTTAATCATGTATGGGTGATTTGGCGGAGCAAATTGGTAGCACACGGATTACATAGTAGCTGAGAAGGGCCAGGTACAGCTGTTGTCAACAGTGATGTTGGCAGAAGCTGCCCATGGTTCGCGCCCTGATCTTTACGAATTTCAACGTCTTGACGTCCACGGTCATTTGAACTTCATTCACCTTCTTGACGCTCTTAAAAATTGCCCTGTGAACACCTCTTGCTCAATGGCTTCAGGGACCTTCCGGCCTACGCTCTTTCTCAAGGACAAGAGCTCCCCTTGACCTACTATTCTGCCCTCCAATGCAGACTGGTATGTCTCGAAAAAATATCTTCTTGGTAGGGGCTCCGTTGCCAGCAAGTCTGGACTGGGATACAGATGAGCTTCTCAACACGGCCATACCTCCCTTTCACGAGAATACGAAGAGCCCAGAACAACAGCTATCCCTGGATCAACCACCTGTAAGATGGAGAGTGTTACGGTCACCATCAGTCGATAAGCTTGGTGACAATTATGACTCTTTTCAACACTATGAGGATCCGGCCTTTTTCATCTCGCATCAGCTGGCTGTCGCGACAGATGCGCCACAAGGACATTCAGAAGATTCGATTATTCAATTCTACGACCATTCTTTTGCCATCCACGAGACCTCCGAGGTAGCTGACTCAGATGTGTACGTAGCAGATTCCACGCAGGACAGCAGTTTGGGCGAGGACAGCGTGTTGGCTAGCTCTACGGCGTTGGATAAACCAGATGCCCCGAGGTCACCTCGTATCCTCCATATCCCTGGACCCCTCAGCAATTTGCAAGACCTTCCCACTGCCAGGTACATCCAGTCCATCGTACCGCAAACGATGACGGTGAATATGATTGTTGGGGTGCTGGCAGTTCACCCCCCACGTCGGATAGTAACACGACAATGGAAAACCGAATTGGATCTTATCGAGCTCGTCGTTGGAGACGAGACAAGGGCTGGGTTTGGAGTCAATTTTTGGCTCAAGCCAGAGAAGCCGACGGCTGCCAAGAACAACGAAGCGGATCGCCTGGGTCGATCGCTGGCGTCACTTCGACCCCGCGACATCGTTTTGCTCCGAACCGTCGGGCTCAGTACATTCCAAGATCGAGTGTACGGACAGAGTCTGCGCCGAGGGATGACTACAGTCGAGCTGTTACATCGAAAACCGGTGGATGTGACGGATGCAGTTGGATTTTACCAGGGCAGAATCCAAGAAGGTAGCCCCCACGATGATCAGCCGGTCCTTAAGGCTCGCCGAGTACGAAATTGGATGCTCCAGTTTGTGACGGATTCGGTTGGAATGTCGCATCCACGTGGACTGCCTCCGGATACGCAGTAGGTCAGTTAATTGCTTTTATGGTTTGATACTTTATATAGTTAAAATATCAGCTTGATAGATATCTTCATGTACAACATACTATGTGCTCCGTACTCCAAACCTAATGGCAAATTGTATTTGAGACGGGAGAGGGGGAACAGGGAATAGGGAATGACCCCCCCACCATAAATCACCCCCCATCACGTAAGTTTCAGGGGCGACATCTCATGACCATAGGAAATTGAGGTTTACTTTCGCGGGTGTCATCTGCATTACCCCGGTAGAAACCATGCAATAGCATTGGATATATTGGCCGGGGATGGCTGAGCTAGTAAGACCTCAGGAGACCGGAGACTTCATGCACGCGTCAGAGCTGTCGAGTTTTTTTGGAATGTATATGAAAGAATGTGCATTCATTCATATCAAGTGAAGTGAATCAATCTAAAATACTGCCCAAAACAGCTATGAAGAGCTTCCAACTGAAGTTGAAGTATATGGCCCCCTTTTTCCCGCAAACAGAGGCCCTCCAATCACCGCCACTCACGTGCCCCCACTTGGACGAAAATAAATCCATCAACGGCCAGGTGTTCCCTAAATAACAGAGAGTCTCTCTCTCCTTTTGCTTCTCCTAGCCTTCTCTGCTCTATTCCTAATTTTTTTTCCTAATTTTCCCTCAATTTCAATTCATCATGAAGGGTATGTTGTATAATCAATGCTTCCACTTGTCCCCGCTAACCCCTCTACAGCTCTCATTCTTGTTGGAGGGTTCGGAACCCGTCTGCGTCCTCTGGTAAATATCCCTTTTATTTTTCTCTGTCCTATTCTCTACTTGGCAATGCTAATACTCAATTGTTCTAGACCCTCACCCTCCCCAAGCCCTTGGTGGAGTTCGGAAACCGGCCCATGATCTTGCACCAGGTCGAGAGCTTGGCCGCTGCGGGTGTTACTGATATCGTTCTTGCCGTCAACTACCGCCCGGATGTGATGGTCGCGGCTCTCAAGAAGTACGAGGAGGAATACGGAGTCAACATTGAGTTCTCCGTCGAGTCCGAACCGCTGGGCACGGCTGGCCCGCTCAAGCTGGCGGAGGAGATCCTGGGCAAGGATGACTCGCCTTTCTTTGTGCTCAACTCGGATGTTATTTGCGACTACCCCTTCAAGCAGCTTGCCGACTTCCACAGGAGCCACGGTGATGAGGGTACCATTGTCGTCACCAAGGTGGACGAGCCCTCCAAGTACGGTGTCGTCGTCCACAAGCCCAACCATGCCTCCCGCATCGACCGCTTCGTCGAGAAACCCGTCGAATTCGTTGGCAACCGTATCAACGCTGGTATCTACATTCTGAACCCCAGTGTTCTAAAGCGCATCGAGCTCCGCCCGACCTCCATCGAACAGGAGACCTTCCCCGCCATCTGTAAGGAGGGCCAGCTCCACTCCTACGATCTCGAGGGCTTCTGGATGGATGTCGGTCAACCCAAGGATTTCCTCACTGGTACTTGTCTGTACCTGACTTCCCTGGCCAAGCGCAAACCCCATATGCTTGCCCCTCACACAGAGTCCTACGTTCACGGCGGAAATGTCATGGTTGACCCCTCCGCCAAGATCGGCAAGAACTGCCGTATTGGTCCCAATGTGGTTATTGGTCCCAACGTTGTCATTGGCGACGGTGTCCGTCTTCAGCGCTGCGTCGTGATGGAGAACTGCAAGGTCAAGGACCACGCTTGGATCAAGTCCACCATTGTTGGCTGGAACAGCTCTGTTGGCCGCTGGGCGCGTCTGGAGAATGTCACTGTCCTCGGAGACGACGTTACCATCGGCGACGAGATTTATGTCAACGGTGGCTCCATTCTGCCCCACAAGAGCATCAAGCAGAACATTGATGGTAAGTCTTAGTTTCTACCGATCACCACAAACCTATACTAATCGCTTATACAGTTCCCGCGATCATCATGTAATCCTCGTTCCTACTCCCCCCCTCTTCCTTCACGTCGCTATGCCTTTTGAAATACCTCCCTTCAACTCTCGTGCCGATACCACCCTCCAGTCCGCCCTCGATGCATAGAACCGGAGTCGTTTACTGCGTTGTCTTCTGTCTTCTCTTCTGTTGCCGGCGTGCCTTTTCTTCCGTGACGGTTTATCACCCTCTCAACTTCCTTCCTTTCGTCCGATGATCAATGCACTCAGAAACCTAGATGGTGAAAGCGTGCGATTTCGGCTGTTTTGCAAGAAATAACCCCTTTTAGTCTTGTTTTTCTACGTTCATCCTTCAAGTTATCCCCCATTTTAGTGCTTCATATTGAGGGTTTCGTCACTACATCCCCGCTCCTTTGCGGTTGGCCACCTGTTTTCATTCCATTTTTTCAATTTTTCTTTTTATCACTGCTGGTCTTCTGGCAATTGGTGGGCAAGGGAATCATGCCATATCCGTTTTAATGAGAACATGGGCGTGGGGCTGGTTCTGTTGATGTAAATAATGGGAGGCGAAATTCGCAAAAAAAAAGATGCAAGTTTAGTTGGTCTTAACACGATTTCTTCAGATATTTCATATCAGGTATTTTTGTAGAAGTATCGTAGACAGAATATTACATACAGATTTGGGGATACATACATACAGTCATTGAAGGCGTTCTGCTTCGAATCAGTCAAGCAGCAGGAAACCGAGGGATAGATTAAGATAAGCATATGTGAGTCTTTGGCAAAGTCATTTTTTCGTTTCCAGACCGTCTCTAGGAACGAGCCTCAGCTTGATCCAGGATCTCATCCCATTGAATTCTCAACTCTTCCATCTGCTTCCAGCACTGGCGTCCAAGTTCCTCGAACTCTTCCCGCTTTTCCTTGGTAAGATCTTCCGCGCCGCGCTTACGACGACGGAGTCGATCAGCCTCAACAACAGGCGTGCCCACAACACCTCCATGTCCCCAGCCGTCGACCTCAGTAGAAACCGCACTTTCAATTCCACGACGCCCGCAAGAGGAACCCCATTTCGCTCTACCACCACCGGCCCGGTAGTAAGGCTCTTCAGCAGCTTCCACGTCAGCCTGTGATGCCAGCGCGAGGAACACAGGGGCACAAGCGCCGAGGTAAGTAGACAATGGATGCCAAGGCGAACCCAGCATCCTCGCAGCCCAGAAAGCAGCAATCATCGCCCACGCAAGGGGAAGAATAAGCGGGATGATCGATGTGGCACAGATACCAGGGTGAGAGAGATACGTGCGCGGGGTCGCGTCGGGGGCATCTGTATGGATAGCATGGGTGTCAAGCTCCGTCTCAGACTGCAAGAAGCTATCGACCGCCCAGGGGGCGGTACTCGGTAGATTGGAAGTCAGTGCGAGGATATCAGTTAGAGCCTTGGAAGACTCATACGGCGCATCAGTGCGCAAACCCTGGATATCATCGACCTTGAAAAAGTCCCAAGTCGCCTCGAGGCTGGAAACCCAGACCACACGGCCGGGCCCGTTCGTGCGCGCCCGCTTCAGCAGCGGAGCTACGTTGTGCGCCAGCATGTAGTGCCCGAAGACATTTGCACAAAAGACTGCTCCGAGTGCGGGTTCTTCTTCCGTCTTTGTTTGCTTGCCTGTTAACACGCCCGTCGGCGCGAGCTTGTAGGACGGCCAGGTCACCGCATGGAGGAGATCTGTGCATACGTCCCAAATGGCCCTGGGCCAATTGATGCCGGACCAGCCGCCCAGCCCAGCATTGAGGACAATTGAGTCGAGTCTGGGGAGGGTGTGGACTAGTTTGCGGGAAAGTTCGCGCACTGAACGCAGATCGCCTAGGTCGACGCTCTCTGAGACGAAGTGAACGCGTGCTGCGGCGGATGCGGAGGGGGAGGTTGATTGTAGGTGAGCTTCTAGTCTGCGGATTGTGTCTTGGGCTTTGCACGCGCTTCGAGTTGTGAATATTATGGTGAGAGATTCGGATTCTGGGTGGGAGGAGAGGAACTCGTCGGCAAGGCGGCAGCAAATAGAGAATCCGAGACCGCTGCGGATGGTCCAAGTTAGTATAGGAAATTGAGCTAAATAGGTCCATTGAGAGGGTTGTACCTGTTGGCTCCTGTCACCAAGATATGCAACATATTTTGCTGCCCACAAGCGGGCTTGACCTGATCCATGGCTTGTTGCTCCAGTGAGTTTGTTGACTCGGCACTTTTTTTGATATCGGAGATAGGGGTTATGCAATAAGATGTCCTGCAATTGAAGCAGTCTTGGGCTGGGGAGGTTGTTGCTTGTTGTCGAAACGAAAAAGATGTACAACAATCTGCTGCATGTGAAACGAAACGAATCCCCCGGAAGTGAGCACTGGCGAGGTTTGTTGTTGAAAATCCACCGAACGGGGAAAGTGCACATGCAGATCACGTGCTCAACTTTAAATCTTATCCTTATCGGAATCGTGGATGTTCCTTGTAAAGTTGTTCCCCGTCATACTCGCTCCGCTCCTCACGCTTCATGGCTGAGATTTACTAAATATCACCCAAATGTCGTGTAGTCGGCACACGGGAAGTCATGGCAGTCATATTTGAGCGGTTTCTCAACACAACCGGATTCTTCTTCTTCGCCCTCATCCTCTTCTGCCTCATCATCCTCACACCAGCGGACGCCATCTACCAATGCTACGAGACGAATCGATTCACCAACGTGTTTTTCATTGTCGGCGCATATGTGATAACTTTTATAATTGCAGCCCTCATCTATGCCACACGCATCTACACGAATCGGATTGCACTCACCGGCATACCCAAAGCCTGGATCCCCGTGGAAAAGGAAGATGTGAACAAGAGCGTTAGGCGACTGGTGAAGGAAGGTCTCGTCCGCAGCGCCGTCATCGCGTATCAAGCCCGCCCGCGCGACATCTCCACCGACGAAGACAACTTCCAAAAATACAAACCGCTTCTCATTGACCCCGAACGACCCCCATGGGGCCAAGTCGAGCACCCCGGCTGGTCTTCGCCTGATTCGCCAGACCTACCGAATCTACCATATCGCACGGTCATACAGGAGCTTCCCAGCTTGATTGAAGCCAAAGCTGTATCCCTTGCCCCTGTCGATTCATTGTCGCCTGCGCCCATCTACCACTTCGATCCGGTAGGCGACCTTACAACACAGTCTCTCCCGGATACACGCGTGGTGGAAGTACTACAACGTCCTGCATCAATGGGTCTGAGAGAATATATCCGCCATCTGACGTCCCTCGGAGCTATCTATCCACCAGAACTCGGTGCGGATTTCCTTGCGCTGTACGAACGAGCCCGGTTCTCGCCGCACGAACTACACGAGACGGAATTCCGCGACCTGATGCATCTCTTCGCGGAGATCCTGAGAGGGATGACATCCCTTGCGCCACCGATCCTGGATGAAATTCGCGACAGCGCAAGCTACCGACGAGCCTATAGCGAATCTGGCATCGGGCCCTCAGATGAAGAGGGAGAAACAGACACAGTGGGGACTTATGGTTACGACGGGGCTCTTGGATCCAGGCGGAGTACCAACAGCCTTCGCCCATCGAATGCGTCTACCTGGGAGACCCAGTCCGGGTATGACACTGCGCCCGCAATTCAGAGCCCCGCCTCGGGACTGTCAACAGACAGTGGATCCTACGCGACACGAAGCCCTTTTCGCACACCTTCTACGAGGTCTCTACGACGCGTGGCATCGGGCCATTCTGGTAGTTCGGGAGGGAGTGTCATTCGCTTGACGCAGCCACGAGATCCGACAGATTTGCCGTATACAATTGACTACGCTGGACGTAGGCAGTGATAATATTCCATTGATACCCTGTATATTACTTATAGAGCAACGCCATTTGGACACCCAATTGCGCCAACCTTAGAAGTGGGGGTGGTCTTAGTCAGGCGGAAAACATTCCGAGTGCTTGGCAAACCTGCAAAATGATTGATAAGATCAATTTATCATTTGACGACGCGTCATCAGAAAACGAGGCAAACTGGCAGGTTTTTTTCCTTTCTCGCACCGTTGAAGCATATATCCCTATTCTGTAACAATGCATCTCTTTCGCCGAGGGACTTCCTCCCTTTTTAGCTCCTCCAACGTCTCTGCTGCCTCCTCCAAGACCGACATCACCACCGACGCTGTGGGCGACAGTGCCCTCGCTGCAGAGGGGTTTAAAACAATCTCGTCGAGCGATAAGCTCTTCAAAAATGTCGATCCAGCAGTAGACGGCGAAGACTGCTTGCACGACTGTGCGACATGCACAATCAAATACCCCGCAAAATTCGATATCGATCACCAAGACGAACTATATGGACAAGTCAATGGATGGGCGACGCATATGCTCGTCGCAACGGGCAAGTCAGATTGGGTGAGAGATGTGGCAGACGAGAAAGGGAGCGTCATGGAAGCCATTGAGAAGGGAGGACTGGAACCGAGCAACGGGGTATGACAATATCCACCACCATCCCTCTATACCTACAAATGCACCAAAACCAATGCACAACCAGAGAAGCTAACAACGACCTTCTCAAAGCGACTGAAACTTTCAGCATCAAACATGCCCGTCCCGGACGAATACCACATGGCCGACGCTGGCAAACAGCCAACAAACGTCCTCCTGCTGCCGAGCTTCACCGTCGTCGAGCACGTCACCCCACAACTTGTCCCAGATCTGATCGAGAACTTCGTCAACAAGTCTCTGACAACAACAACGCCACTAGGCGCGATCCCACCCCCTCCGGATAAACCAACAGAAGCAAACCAAGACCAAGAAACCACGCAATCACAAGACCTCCCACACCCATCCACAACATCAATCACCACATCCCTCAGGTCCCACCCCTGCCCGCACGCAGCAGTAATTCTACTCTGCTCGCAGCGGACGCGTGACGCACGCTGCGGGCAATCCGCACCCCTGCTCCGCCGCGAGTTCGAGCGCCACCTGCGCCCGCTCGGTCTGTACCGCGACATGGACGACCAACGGCCTGGCGGTGTGGGTATCTACTTCATTAGCCATGTTGGTGGGCACAAGTACTCTGCCAATGTGATTGTGTACCGCCGTCGGGACTTCAATTGGTACAAGCGTGGTGCTCCTGCGGATGGGGAGAGGCGGGTCGAGGATGAGGGTGCCGCGCAGGGAATCTGGTTGGCGCGTGTACGGCCGGAGGAATGTGAGAATATTATTCGGTATACTGTTTTGCAGGGAAAGTTGCTCAAGTCTGGGCAGCAGTTGCGAGCTGGGTTTGATCGTGAGCGCGGGCTGACGAGTTGGTAAGTTGGAGTTGGGTTGGTTGGTTGGGATTTTGGTGTTGGTATAGTGGATATAGTAAGGTATCTCACGGACATATTACTATTCTGGGCTGATGTTGGATTGCCTGATGTATCTCATTTGTGCTTATAGTGCTCTATATGTAGTACTGCCCCCAAGTCAGATCTGTACATGCGCATAATGCCAACAGCTATATCTTCTAGGGCTCTGTATTCCAAGGATATATTCATTATTTATTATCTGATGGTTCTACAAAATTTCATGGAATTTGAGAAAACAGTGCTCACACCAATTGAGAGGCAGAGGTGGCAATAACGTTCCAAGATTGGAATTCTCAGGCTTTGTAGGCGGTCCAGCTGTTGAGCCCCCCAGTGTCAGCCCTCGTGAATTTGAAGTACCAGGGAATGCGTTCAAATGCTGTATATATCGAGTTTACAATGCAAGAGTTGGCTTAAATGCAGCTTCCACTCAGCACACACTCTACAGCTTGTTTATGCTGTACATGTAGTATCCCCAGCCGCATTAACAGCCGCAGGTGACCACTCCTACAAACAGGAGCCTTTTCAGGTTCGAATTCATAAAGATTTTGAGTGAGAATTGGTGTCAATGTTACCCAAGATAGTTGAACGATTCAATGGATATTATCTGGGTCAAAGTAGATGCAACTCTTAAGCTTATTGTTCTCTATACACAATGAATAGGCTGCTAAACATGATGATCATTTCTTTTGATCTCTTACTTCACTTCCCGTAGCTCACTGTCATAGAAATATCACCAAATCCTTGAGCATAATACTAACTGTACGGTTACTACCTTCTCTTGCTCTTTATCAAGTATATTTGACTTCAAATATCGTTTGATATGGACATCGTACCGTTCGACTACGACCATACCTACGCTTCCAACTAATAGAACATATACTAACGTCGACAAGCAATCTAGGTGGCCATATATAGAACTGCTTTTCATGCGCTCCAAATGTGCAAGCCAGAGTTAACTGCAAGGTCAGCGTTTGTAATCCCATCTATATTGAAGCTCACTACGGAGTACGGAGTACGGAGTAGAGAATATTGCAACCTAGGATGTTCCTCTCGACCGTGCAGATAAAACTGAGGTTGCTCAGCGCACCTGCCCAGATGGGCAAGAAGCTCCGGGGCTTCGTGGGAAGGTCCACCTGCCCAGGTGGGCATCGGGTGCTGACCGGGTGCTGACCTCGGGACAGTCCCGACCTGGTCGGGCCCCGGCCCGCCCAGCCTTGCGTCCGGGCGAGCCAATATGCTTATCTAACCTACACCTGGACCGTGCCCAGGTGGACACCCGTGGGACCCGTAGGACCGCTCAGGGGCGTGCTCAATTTTACTCGGACGAGTGTATATGTGGGTTTTGGGTATACAACCCGTCTGATAAACCACCTACATACTGTTGCAGTAGTATGCCCCTCGTCCGGACGTTAGGCCATTTCATTCTCTACGATATTGTACCATAACCCAATTGCATCCACAACACTGTATCTCAAACCAAGGAAATGCACATCCACATTCCAGGTAAGGAGGATATAAAGCCACGCTATTGAATGTGCTCCATACCACCACGTTAGTTGCAGCAAGGCGTGCATGCGTACCCGACGGCCGAGACGGCCCTACAAAGAAATCCACGCCATGCCCATAGAAAACGTCATGCCCGCGAAATGAGGAAGTTTCCCCTCGATTAAGAAGATGCCGTTTTACAACGTACATCAGATGACTGGCAAGGGGATGATGCAGCTGTAGAAAGAAGCCAAGCCCACCAGCCGCTATCCCTCAGCCGTCGGGTTCTCGTCCTTCTCTGGGATCCACCGGGCTTGTTTGAAAGTAACATGAGACGGTGATTGCACAGAATAGAGGAGCCGATGCTCTCCCGTGTTGCTTTTATCAACGCGCCCCCTTGCACAGAAGTCGGGAAAATGGCGGATGCGGGAATTTTGTACATACTATATTTTTTTGCGGGGGAAGAAATTAGCCACAACACGTCATTTTCTATCCGATAGCTTCTTCTATATTTACACATTCGTGCTACTAGATAGATAGGAGCTCGGAGATGATGTCTTTTAGGGCAGGAGCACCCCGGGTTTTCAGTAAAGAGGCGTACGGGGTACTAAATTTCTAACTTTGCTGTCAGCTGTGATAGGGGCTTGCGGTAAGTTTTCTTGATGATTTGATCACATTCTTCTCTTCTTCCTGACTCGCGCTGTTGGTCTTCAGAACCAACATTTGGCGGTTTCTAACTTCGAAACTGGAGTCAAAATATCTGCAAGGGGGTCAATTGGTGGCTGTTCACTTAGTCCCAAGATCCTGGCCGGTAGGTTATCATTTAGCGCTGATAGGATAGCAAACCCCGAGTGTTGACCGACATTCGACATTCGCGCAACCAGAGCGAGAGAACGCAATATGGCGGGGAATGACCCAGAAATTCGAGAAATTTATTTCCGGTCTGCTGATTCTACTGCGGGGAGGTTATCATAGATCATCGACTGTTCCTCGTATACAACTAAACAGAGAAAACCTGATCACGTTCATACCGTCTTTCTTTGGTGAAAAAAGCTCGCGGAGTCTATAGCCATATTGCCGAGACAGAGCTCACCTAGCTTCTTAGCTTACTTTGTTCCAAAGTGGGGGATATGTAGCAGCCCAACGAGCTTCTCCCATTAGTGCGTCGCCATGCGCGCGTCGGAGATTAATTTAGTGGCTTTTCGCGACATGTGGAGGATATTTATTTTGAAGCTCATATCTGGTAAATTTATCCCAGTGTATTATTTTTATGTACAACATACCTCGTCGCTTTTCGGCACTTCACATGGTATAGGTGATCATCATAGAGATACCTAGGTATTTCCGATCTGTTTATTAACTCTCACTGTAAATCACTTTTCATTCTCATCGTACAAGGTACATGAATGACATTACATTTCCCTCGTATATAACCCATTACCTACAAATACCAACACTGTTAGTGGATTAGCCACAAGCCCAAGAGGGGGCCACGCCTTGCATGGGGTCAAATCAGAGAGCTCTCCAACAGCGTCATATCATCCCTCAATCGCCAAGATGAAACAAAATGCGGGGTAGTCAGAGCTTCTTAGATCATCATCTCACCAACAGCCGAGGAGAAAGAAAAGGAGAAACAAAAAAAATAAAATTGAAAAACAGATTCTCTCATCGAACTCTAACCTTCCCGAAACCCATTGTCCTTGCGTGATACTCATGCAGCTTCGAAACAGCTTTTGAATGGCTTCTGACTCCTTTTCTCCTGCACTTTGCTTATTCCCAACAAGACGGTGGACCTTTCTTTTCAATATCCGAATATGATACGGCCCCCAAAAGAGCCCATCCCTATCCGGAGGTCATCCACTCCACAAAGAAAACTAGTCTGCACAGAAAACAAAGGATCCGAAGACCAGGCTCTTGGGTATATTTGACTGACGCCTCATTTCTTTTTCGCATGCAAGCACACCGGTTTTTCGATTTTCTCTCGCCTCTGCGTCAAGCTCACCAGTCGCGCCCTGCTTTCGCAGCATCGTCATATGTAAATATGCAGACTTGCCTTAAGCAGAGCATGAATGCTGTGCTGTAACTAGTTACCTGATCAACATACATGTAGGCATATATTTTAGCCGAGCGATTACCGTTTCATCTAGCGTGCATCTGGGAGCCGATTAGGGCGAGGCCAACGATAGTCGCAGTTTATCTCTTAGGGGCTGATCGGCGGAGACTTTGGCGCTCTCTTGACGGGATTTGGTTTCTAAGTTTCGTAGTGTCTAAACGAACGTGCTTGCAAGTCTGGACCCTTCAGGTGGAAATGATGATGGGCTGTGCAATCTGTACACTATACAATATACAGTACTAGTAGCCTTTCTTGGAGATTTTACCTACATTCGTCTTCCTTACTGTTTTTTATTCTAATAATTCCAATAATTTTAAATTTGGTTTATTTCGTCCTGTTCGATTACCTCAATGGCGGAGGCGGGATGCATCCATAGCCACTAACAGGGAATTTGTGTGGGTCCTCCAACCAACACATGCTCTTGCCTCGTACACTGCGTACATCATCACGATCCGGGTATATCATGAGTGCAGAACTATTGGTCCTCTGAACGAGATCTACTTCCCTCAGCCTACCAGGTAACCGCAATAGATCTGCGATACACGATTAGGCAAAGTTCTACGGCGTACTCCGTACTCCATACAGAGTACCAAGGTTGTACTATGTAAACGGGGCTTGTCGATCACGAAAAGAGAGAAGGGGAAAAAAAGGAAGCCACAAAGCTGCTGCCATTCCTCCGGCGTAATAAGGTTATAGGATGAGAAGATCGACGCTGTTAAGATGACCGCAAGTGGGTTGCCACGTTCAGTAGAAGTTACCACTTACCACCAAAAAGCCTCAGCTTCTATTTGCGTTTCAGCTTATGTACTTTCTAAAGAAGAGATCTAACCCTCTCTGGCATATTTTGGCTGTGATTCTCACCGCATAGTTTGTTGCGAGAAGATCAAAGCTTTTTGCGACACCTCCGTTGATCCTATCGACTGGCAATCGAGACATCCCGGGCCAACCGAGGCTACCCGATACACCTTGTGATGAGGCGAAAGCCTACCTGTTTGATCCCTAAGGCATATGGTTTTGCCACCAGAATTTATCAGAGCCTGTGGAAAGTAAGCTAAGTACTCCGTAACGGCCATTTGTGTTTCTGGTTCTACAACAGACTTTGAGTGTTGCTGAAGGCCAAATGATCGACCCAGCTACGTCGATAAAAAGCAATTATAATGATTGATATGCGCTATACGGGGAGTGCGGTGAAGAGACTAAGAAATCCCTTGTTCATCGGGGATGTGGCACTCTATTTACCAGGGATAGCATGGTATATCGCAAAAGTTTATCAGACTTGAGATTACTTGAGACCATTGTGAATGTGAGCAAGATTCCCCCCCGCCTGGTAATCAAGAGCAACGTTCCCTCAAGGTATACAATTTTAAAACAAGTGGAGAGACGGGAACCAACCTTAAGGAAATGGGACCCGAAGCCTTGGTGCTGTTCGGGGTGGACAAGCGGGAGAGCTGAGCTGGGGTACCTGATCCATTCGGGATAGAACAATCCGAGTTATCACCGTTAGCCCCCGGGGTGCAGATGCCGCGTCATAAGTCATCCCTTGCAGTTTTGTCGTTTTCTTTCCCCTATTAACTCCCTTTGCTTCTTGGTGTTCTAAGTTTTTTTTTTCTCCTTGACTCCAGGTTTACGGTGTATACCATATTTCTTTCGTTTTTTGACTTTCCCCTTTTGTTTATGGAGACGCGGATATTAATGGGGAACTTCTAGACCCTGAGGGGAAATTAGTCGAGCTTTGCATTGCCAATCCGTTTACTTCCCGGAGAAGATCGTTCTTAGCGTTAGTGACCTTACCCTCTCATTTGGAAACCTAGATCGGAGTAGTTCGGCCGCAGCTAACCTTGGGAAATTAGTTTGATTTAGTTGTGAAAGTCGTTATTTCAGAGTCTTTGAATGGACGATTTCTCGAGCGCCCCCCCATGAATGGCTTTTCCTGCGGGCGAGAATGGTACTATGTTGTATGTACGCCCGTACTATATATGATATCATCCTTGACACAATTAACACAAGCCCATCTCTCTGGCACTACTTGGCAAGACGTGGCAACCCCCTTAGAGACCTTGAAACTTTATCTGTGTACAGTATACATCTCATGATTCAGGCTTAGTAGTACCCTCAACGAGTAGGTGTAGTTGGATTGTGATTATTAAAGGGGGCCAAGAGACTGGGAAGTTTATTTTGCAAGATACGGTCATATACAGGGTATTCTATACGGTACCATTCCATGCCCGGTCCAGTCTAGCATGTCTTGTCATTCGGGCCCAGGTGGAGCATTTGGTAAATAAGCTGGTAATGTGGGGGTTTCTATTTTTCAATGGGCTATCGCAATTTACCATGTTGATTTTCATTTCAGCCTTTAAGAGGGATCCCGTTAAGAGTTAACAGTCAACCTTGAAAGTTTTAGTATGCCACAACTAAAAATAAATTACCTCCACAAGTATTAGACGGTTTTCCGATGTGGTACACTGTTTCTACTGGGAAAAATTGAAACGATATTTCTTTGTATAATAGGGTTAGGGAAGAAGGAAATAAGGAAATAAGGAAAGAATTAGGATAGTCGATATAGGCAGTGATATTTTATTCAGAAGCTACTCTCTGATAGGTGTGTTAGTATATAGTATCCCTGGAATATATCAGTACAATGAGCCTGGTACCTGGTACCTTCGAATGGAAAATAATAATAATATTATAAAATAATACAGATATATATCTAAAAAATAAAAATACCCATAAAAAGAATAAAACTAAAAATATAAATATTAATATGCTCTTCTATGGTCTCATCCGCGCCGTTTTTTTCCCCCTTCACAAAGGTTTCCTATTAAATCTCATTAAATACTCTTTTTAATACTTGAGGCTCCCCCCCCTCCCCCTTCTTTATCTTTTGATCTTTATCGTATATCATTTCGTCCCCTCTTATATTATGCTCTGGATTCGCAACATCCCGGCTACCCATCCAGCCTGACCAGGATCTATTCCCCCCCCCCCTCTTCTCCATTATTTCAAGGTCGTCTGCGATCGCATATGCGCTTACCTTCTTTCCCCTCTTTCCCCCTTTGTCTATTTTCTGGCTTTCCTCCAAGTTCATCTTCTGCTATTCGCGGTCTCAGATCTTTGCATCATGGCTCCAGGCAGTGGGCGCGACTTTAACTGCTCATGGGAGCATTGTGGAAAGGTGGGTGCCTCAGCTCTTTCTACTCTTTTTCATCCCCCTAACCTGTTATTTGTAGTCCTTCAATCGCAAGTCGGATCTCTGCCGCCATTATCGCATCCACACCAATGAGCGGCCGTATCATTGCACTGTAAAGGACTGCAATAAGAGCTTTATTCAGCGCAGTGCCTTGACCGTACACTCGAGGACTCACACTGGCGAAAAGCCCCATGTTTGTGACCATGAGGGCTGTCAAAAGGCATTTTCAGACGTAAGGACCTTTTTAATTTCGCATGGTTGCGCATTTACTGATTATCGCTTATAGTCATCGAGTCTGGCCCGCCACCGCCGAATCCACACTGGCAAGCGGCCATATATATGCCACGAGCCTACATGCGAACGGAGGTAAGTACTTTGGGGTGGAAATGGTCGAAGCACTATTCTAATTGTCCTGTTGAAACTGCAGTTTTTGTCGCAAGACCACCCTCACCAAACACCAGCACCGCTCCCACCCCCCAGGGAGCATGACCCGACCATCCTCAGAAGATGCGACTTCCGAGCACTCTTACCACCAAACACCCGTATCTGTCTCGGTCCCGAGTGAGCAGTACATGCTCGCCCAGCAACCTTATTATGCGCAATCGGCGACACCAAGTCATGAGTTTTACTCGCCCCAGAGTGTGCCGATGGGCACCGTGCCGGTTCACGAAGCTGCCCCTCCGATCGTGTCCCAGAATGTACCTGGAACCTCGCCAGTAAACATGTCACACGCTCAACAGCCACACCCGCAACACCATGTACATCCACACCAGCACCCGCAACAACAACAACAGCAGCAACAACAACAGCAACAACAGCAACAACAGCAACAGCAACAACAGCAGCACCAACAATACCTACAGATGATGCAACAGCGTTACGATACAAGTCCGCGCACCAACTACCTCCCAGAACAATACCAACACCCGTCTTTTCAAGGCCATCAATTGCCACCCGAACAGCCAATGATGGTTTCATACCACCCAAACTATGCGTACAAACCCCCCGGCTCCCGACTCTTGAACCAAGCGGAGGGGACTGACTGGGGCTTTCTTGGAGTAGGCTAAGAGGAGATTACACCTAGATTTGTGGATCCAAAGCGTGTTTAATGCCTGTTACGACTTCCCTGCTTTCTCCGGCTATGCCTTTTCTTTTTTTGGATTGCAAACCAGAAATTCGCATCTGTTTTTGTCTGTGGTTCTATAATGGCTCTTTCCTATCTCTGCTCCATTTCTAGGTTTTTGGGCGCTTTTATTATGGATTCCCCCTCGCGATATTATGTTATTCTTTTATATATTGTCATTTTAAACGGAGGCAAAGGTGTTTCCCTTCTCATTGGCGAATCTTTTCTTGATACCTGAACATGGGAAGCGTTTTTCTTTCTTTTTTCTTTTCTTTTAATTTCTCTGTTATATTCCCTATCTCTGCGTGTATTGGTCGTCTATTTTCACCCATCAGATTCCGAAGAATTTCTTTACCAAGACGGTCATTTCTTCCGATATTGCCCATGATATATCAGCAGAAGCTAGTGTTTCCCAGGAATATTACTGCGATCGAACCTCCAGTCCCATTGGCTCCATCAAAGATCTAGCCTTTGAACAACAATCCTTTCTGCATCGTATATTCACTTACCCGTCTTTTCTCAGCCTCTTCCCGTATTATCTCACATTGTTGTCTGGGCATTCATATACTTCGAGCTAGTAGATAGAATGTCATACCATGCCTAGACTAGCATGCGACCCGAAAATAAATAAATTGCATGGCATGCATGACTCGTGGCTTATTCGTTTCAATTTCTGTCTCCATATTTTTGTGTTTTTTTCTTTTTTTCTTCTCGGACTTACACGCGGTGGCCCCATTTCCCTTTCCTCGGAGTTCTAGGACTCGGAAAGCCAAGGATGGCCAAGGGCCAAGGAGGAGCGCAACCCTGTCTCGCTAACAAAGACAACGCTCGTTCTCGCTTTCCTTTCTAGAATGGGTTCTCCATAAGATTTATTATTAATTATTTTTGGCTTCAAATGCTGACATTTTAGTGTGCCATCTGGGTAATTATGTACTATTTATACAACTATTTACTATCTACAGTAGTATTATTCACTGCATACCCTGTCTATCGGTCTACCAATCCCAATGCACAATAATAATACTTTGTAGAATACATTCGGGCAAGGATTCTTTCGCCTTCTCTTCCCGAGTTCCCGAATGCAACAGCAATTTGTTTTTTTTCCCCCAAACATACATGCCTAGTTACCTAGACGAATCCTGGTGGATTATCCCGGTAGGGATCTCTACCAGGTTAATCCACCAATGCGGACTAGGTTCCTGTTCTGCATATCGAGTAACCGTTGATCTAAGGTAGCAAGAATATTCCAAGGTTGCACTCTGGCTAAAACAAATCGCCACTAGTAGCAAATCAAACACCTCAAGTCTCTCATCTCCGTTGGGGTACCGGAGTACTTGGTCCATTGTACATGGCCCTGGAAGGGCCTTGTGGCAAACAGAAAATTTGTCTTTCTTTTTTTTTATCAAGGGTTTGCCGCTTCTCGAGAACTTGTGAGACACCTCCTGCGCCTGCTGGGGTGTTGTGTAGGTTTGTTTGATTGTGTATACGGGCTTGGGTTCAAAGGTACAAAGTACTTGTTGTGATTCTTTAGCTTATATAACTATACGAATCGACCAGTAAGAATTGAGTAATAGAAGGGGAAATATTCCTGGAAGTAGTTTCAATCCAAATGTCCAACTCAAACCAAAAAATAAAAAAATAAAAGAAAAAGAAAATTAGAACGGGGAGATCTCCTGCCCCCATTGTCAATAGAGTGCAATATCGACTTCTATTTGACTAACACCTGCAGCCCAAAACCGGTTTTATTTTGGTTTGTAAGGCTATTAAACTACAACCGGATACCATTTCCGATATGAAATGGAAAACATCTTGGTCTTGTCTGGTGAAATTTGATTTTTACTACGATGTAAGTCTTTTACATTGTTCTCGACCGATCTTTTTCGCGAGGATTTCTTTCCCTGACTATTCAAAACTATCTAACGCGGAGTCTCCGGACTTGCGGCCAGACCTGCCGACACCACTAACTTTTGACGCAGATCCGTACAGGGGGGGGTGATTGCCAAACCCGTCAAGAGTGGAGAGTTGGAACCCGGTGAAGGTGGAATATGAAAGGGCCGGTAGATCCCGCCTCCAGAAGGATCACCCATTTATTTTCTCTTGGGGGATAACTGGACACACCTCGGAAGACCCGGCCTGTCGGTGTCTTCGGGCCTTTTCCCAGCGGACTGGGATCCTGATATCACAGTACCTGCACACTACACGTATACACTACGTAAGTGGGCATAAAAGCCTCATACTTTAGAATCTCTGTGATTCATGCCTTAGTACTCCGTACTCTGTACAATATACATACATAGTCGGGGCAGGGACTATTCCGTAGAGCGACTTAATGGGGTCCCCCCCCAATATGCAAGTCACAAGCTGCGCGTAAACTGCGCGTTATGCGTTAGCCTTGAAAACGGGGTTTGATATATCCAATCGTTGAGGGTTGACAAGGTTCATCGAGTTTTTGTTCATTTCGTTTTATCTTTTGCTCATTTCGCTTCTCACTTCGGAGATTTCAATTAGACTGATCCTAATTATACTATTCCTCGTCCTCCAATCGATCCAGCAAATCACAAAGTGGCGCCTGCGACGGGTCAGCCCCTACTTCCGAGCCGCCATGCAATATAGTATGCTGTACTCCATAGACAACGGTTTCGTCCGGTGAAGACAGAATACAGACTTCGGGCGGAGATCTTGACTGAAATAGCATTGGTCAATTTGTCCTGCGCAGTCTCCGCTTTTGTAGGGTTTCAAGATTGGCATAACGGGGCAGCTACTTCCGTGGGCGCATCGGACTATAGATTCCCTGAGGAGACTAGGATCTAGACGCTTGCCAGCTAATGTATCAGAATGTGTCGGGATGAAAATGCAACCAAAACTACAAATTTCGATGTTGATTGGTTCAATATCTACCGCGTATAATACTAGTGATTAAGATCGCGAATGCGACAAACTGGATGAAACATGGCAAATAAGAACACAATCAAGAGCAGATTTACGATCGGAGGAATGAGGCCTTTGTATTCTGCGACCGAGGCTGATATTTCCGGCCCCCATGCCAAGCCCTTCTAGTCGCATCGGCGTTCTTGGCCCTATCGACGTCCAGGGGGAGAGCGCGAGCTACTTTGTATGGGTCAATCAAACACATTGGATGGATATGGACATCAGGGATACGAGACATTGGGGCTGCATGCAGGTGATTTCGAAACCTGCGATGTTTTGAGTTCAATTCCGCGTTGACTTGCTGCAACACCGGAGCAGAGAGAGAAATAGGATTAAGGCAGAAAACGAAAAGACCGCAAGGATTGGAAGAGCTAGGTGCAAGTATTTCCACTTGCGGGTTGATCGGCTACGCACTCATTTCCAGACATTACAATCTACAGTATAGTACATACTCCGCTGCAATATCCCTACGGGCTGCTCCAAGAGTCGGTGTGGGGATATTTCCAACGGCGATCTAAGGGGATTCAGGAGGATGGCTGGACCCGCAGAAGACTTTCCCATGTGAATGGCCAAAGAGATAATTTGCTAGAACACCCAGGTGAAAGTGTGTGGTTGTCATGGATGTCCCCTGTATGTAGTATGGCGATGTGCATTAGAGCTTTTTCTAGTGTATGATTACTGAGAGGTTTCTGAAACAGTAGAGAATATGACGACATATAGCATGGCCATGTAGTATCGGAGTTAGGGCATTCCGTGTTATTTCCTAGACTAAAAAAAGTACTTCGTAGACGCCGTTGTATAGCTTGCCGGCGTTGACGCGGGGTGGAGAACGTGAGCTTTTTTATGGGGAATCTAAAAGGAACTAGGAACTGGACTAAGTTCCTAAAGGGGTATGTAGTATGCAATTTGAGAATATCCCCGCTACTAACATTTCTGCTACTAACATCCCTGCCACTTTTATATGAATCCAAAGGGTTATTTCTTGACCTATCAAATGATCTACAAATAATCATACATGTATATCATTTGAACGAGAAAACCTTGGAAGTGAGTTTCAGGAGCTTGGGCCTTTCGGGAACACCGGGGAACACAGCGCAGAGACTGGTGGGTGCGGGTATTGTATTGTCATATACAGGCTTGTATGATATTGCGGAGTGCGCTATGGACCGTTCCCGAAGGTCCACTGGGATCCCGGTACCTGGAGACTGTATTTTGATTCCATGGTACACTGGGTATCTTATGGTACCTGGCAATTCAAGATATTCGGTGAATATTACGGAGTAGATAGAAGAATCACATTGTCCAGGCAGAAGGAAACTAAAGGCAAAAGGAAATGCTTGGCATGAATCCACAATGTAACCTGTCAAAGACAATTTTTTGGAAACCTCACCTCTTAGCCGGCTAGATTCTGGTTCCAGGTGGTCCCCGATGGTCGACAAGACCTGCATAGTCTACATCGGGAATGGTAAGCGGAAATGGTAAACGGGAATGGTAAAGAAAAAGAAGAAAAAAAGAGAGCAGATGGAGCCCGTCAAAAGAGAAGTGGATCGGTAATCTTTCCGTTATCCATACATATGTATGTTGTAATAACCCTCAACCTCAACGCTTCGACCCATTCCGTTGAGACTAGCCCGATCCTCCCGGAGAGAGACATGAGAAACAAGCTTTGTGGAATGGGGCATAGAACGCGCACCTCTCTGATCACGGGGTTTTTATCCAATGATTTCGCTTCGAAATAATACCCGAATTAAAGCAGTATGTTGTATATATCTTGTTACAAAGTACAATGAAGACTTGGTAAGATGGGTCTGAACCTCTAAATGGCAAGTTGGATACGAGCGATCGACAGGTTTCAAGAGAGCAGTCACCCAGTTCTAGCTCGAATTCACAACTGTGTGTTGCGGCTCAGGCCGATCCCAAACTTTCTTTCAAACTTTTCTTTTTGGTTTTTTTTTTTCAAACCGAAAACCCAGAAAAGAAAAAAAACACACACACAAACACAAAAACAGAAAACAGAAAACAGAGAACAGAGAAAAAAAAAACAGAAAAACCTTCCAAAGCAAATTACCGCTCGGCTATTGGCGAGCAGCGGAGAGAGTTTTAAACCTTGAATTGTTCTCGCCCTTGGCCACATGGCAGATCTGAAACTATATGGAGCACTCCATATAGCATACCAATCTGGAAAGGTCAGGGTTCAAAGTTCCCGACCCTAGAGCCTACCTGGGTAGGTATCGTCTCGCATTATGAAGCCTGATATGACCAAAGATCCCCCAACCCCCACAAGTGGTCCGCCCCCCACTCCTCGAACTGCGAATGTCTGGTCTAGATCCCGGTGCGGGATCGTCTTTTCTTGGGAGCTCCATCGATCAGCATCTTGGAGTGAAGCTATGGCTATGTGTGCCGAGGAGATACAACATACAGGAGGAAAGAGACATTCTGTTACACCCAGACCAACAACATACCGTTGACCATTTCTGGTTCTCGATTCTCACTTACATCGCGCTAAGATGTGTGCCATCCAAGGGTCGAGAGCGAGAGAGACCTGCTTGTTTCAATTGTTTTCCTCCCTGAAGTTGACGTGTGTGTCCAATGCCGTATAGAGTCTAGTCTGATCGCTGTGGTCTGGGTTCGTTTTTATACCGTCCCTTTTGCTTGTTTGTGTTACGGGTGGTCTTGGTATCTAGTAGTACCGGAGTAGTATACATCGTACATGCTAAATGGAACTTGAAATGTTATACGAATATCCTTGGTACACTGGGAACACATAGTCATTTCGATTTCTACGAGTCAAACGAGTCCAAATGCAAATCATCAGATCTGCATTAACAATACGGACGCCATAGCTCAGTATCATTTGCAAGACTATCTCTTCTATTCTGAAAAGGGTGCCCCAGGTACCACACCCAAGCCGCTAATCCACATTGAGAAACTTTAGACGAAGAGACACCTACGGCCCCTGTCATTGGCCCGTTCCTGTTTGTACTATACTCACCTGGGCATATCTGGGGAAGTGTATCCATATCCATATCCAGTCCAAGCAAATTAGTTAGTTACTGTATAACTTACATTATATACCCAGGGACATCCGTTGATGTCGAGGGTCTCACGGGTGTACGACACTGGTAACGGCTGCGTTTATAAGCCTTTTGTACGACTCCATCCGGGCTGGATAAAGATGCCGGGATCTGCGTATGGCACAGCATTGTATGCTGTGCTATGTAGGTTCCTATCTAGGAATAGCCATCCTGGCAAGTGGTGTGCCAGTCTTGGATTCCCGAGGTTATTGGCGAAGGCTGATCGGAGGTTTCCTGGACTATGCGGGGAACGGGAAATTGGGGGGCTGTGGCTTGGCTGGGGGAATTGGGGCTAACGTATGTACTATGTACTATGTACTATGTACTTCTCTTTCTAGGGTTCTATTTCCCTAGTCAATTAGAATGCTGGCGAGATGGGCACATGGCGAATGGTATTTTGACCGAGGCTGGGTGGGAGGAGATTGGACCGTGGCTATGTTGGCCACCCTTCTCGGCTGATGTCTGAGTTTTGGCTGATTTGAGCACATGAGCAGGTAGCTGCGTGATAGAGGTACTTCATGCAGGTACATAGGCAATGGTGACCTCGTATTCCGTTTTGCTAGGTATGGTTATTCGATCAGTGAGCAAAGACAAGACGTAGTTCGTCTTCGAGCAATCAAATTCGCGCTGGGTGAACCTGACCCCGTGAAGGCCGATAAGCGCACTCGCCATTTTATCAGGTTCATGTCGAATCATAGAAATGGCGGAATTGTCGCCGTTCGCACGTTGATTATCGAACTGAGAAGGAACTGGGAAACCGAGGAATTCGCCGAGATGGATCTCGCCGACCTATTGACATGCGGCGTATTCGTTGAAATCGAACGAAGTCGAATCCATGGACCGGCTTCTGGAGCGAGCTCGACAGATGGCGCACGCCTCGTTCTGATGGCTGCCTTGTTCTCAGTCAGAGAGCGGGCTATGATAGAAGTGTGTGCATAGGATACTCTAATCTAGGTGGTGCATGTCAAGTCAATCCCTCATCTCTAAGCCTTTCTAGTTCTGTAAAACACCTCTTCTCAGCTACCAGTCTAGCTAGCAAGCCAAATAAACGATATATAAAAAAAAATGCGATAATAAAGTCTATTACGCTACATCTCAGAGAAGATGCTAACCAGGCACAGCCTGATCACAGCCCAGCTCTAGAACATACCAAAAGTCGTAAATATCAAGACCAAAAAGCCTAATCATCCGAAACAGCAACCTCATCCTCCCACTTGGCAACACCCATCTCACGCGCACGTTTAACAACACGCTCAATACCATCGAGACCCATCTTCAACACATCCATCTTAGGCCCGTAGCTCAGACGGACGAAGTGGTGACACGGGCTGTCGAAGAGATCACGACGCTTCGCCGGGTTCAAGTCAAAGAAGATACCAGGAACAACAATGACCTTCTCACTCAGCAAGGCATTGAAGAAGTTCAAGCCGTCAGAGATGTTAGCCTGGGGAGGCAGGGGCGGGTCGAGCGAAGTCAGATCGAGCCAGACATAGAAGGTGGCCCCAGGGATGTCCTGGACACGGAAGCCGATATCGTAGAGACGGCCCAGGACGTAGTCGCGCTTTTCCATGAAGTGGCTCTGCAGCGCCTTCATCTCGGTGCGCACCAGCTCCGGCTCCAGCATCGGGATCGCAGCTTCTTGGAACGGTACGTTTGCGCCGCCGTCGAGGTAAGAGCCTGCGGAGCCGAGAGCGTCGACAAAGTCTTTGGGACCGACAACCCACGCAATTCGCCAGCCGGGCAGTCGGAAGCGCTTCGTGAGTCCGTCGATCAGGAGGACGTCTGTGGTTCGGGTTAGTTTCGTGTACAAAATTAGGTTCTGGGGGTGGATATCGTACCATCCTTGTTCACGTCGAGGACGTTCGCGGCACCGCTGATCGTCGATCCGTCGCAGCCCGTTGTGTAGTTGTATCCGCCGTAGAACTCGTCCAGGATGAGAGTCGCGCGGTCACGGCAGAGGTCTTGGATTTCGATCAGCTCGTCTTGCGGCACGAAGTGGCCTGTGGGGTTACGGGGGTTGGAAGTCAGCAGCACCTGGGTGCCACGGGCGATTTCCTCGGCGATCTTGTTGGGGTGGATGTGGTAGTGGTCATCCTTTGAGAGAGGGAGGGGGATGGGAGCAATCTGCAGGCTAATCAGTAAACGGTAACAACACCCCAGCTCAGCTCAGCTCTTTCGATAACGCACGTTCTTGAACAGAGTCAACATCTCCGAGTACGCAGAGTAATCGGGGATGGGGAAGGACAGGTACGAGTTGCCCAGGATGGCAGCAATGCGAATCAGTCCGGCGCGGCCACCGGGAACAATGCAGACATTCTCCCAGGTGTACTGGCTCTCCTTGCCCTGGCGGTAGTGGTCGTTGTACAGACGAGCGACGGCGGCGCGCAGTGGCTTGATACCGGCGGTCGGACCATATTCCCGAGCAGCAGAGGTGATGGGAATGGAGGTCGGGCGAGGGAAGCTTCCCTCGATCTCATCATCGGCCTCGGGGGCTCCCTGGCCTAGATTGGCCCAGCCGGTGGGATCCTCAGCGAAGCCATGCTCACAGGCTCGCTCTGTGCACCAGACAACACCGGTGGAGGCACGAGAAGCGTCGAGACCGGCGTGGGGACGGTGACCTTCGTGAGCGGCTCGAAATTGCCGATGGGTTTCTGATCGGAGTTCTGAAGATTTTAAAAGTTAGAAAAATCAGACATGTCGGAAATGTGATATTGCATATGCACGCACCATTATCCGTCAGGTCCTTGGTGGTCGATAAGCGGCGGTTGTCAGAGGGGCGCAGGATGCTCAGGCGGCGGCCGGAGAACGACATTCTTGGCGAGTTTTCTGGTTTTTGTATAAAATGCTTGCAGGCCCTGTTCTATGAAAAGAGTAGAGATTTTAGGGAGCGGGAGGGGGCAAATAAAAAAAAAAAAACACGTTTACACCGAGCCGGTTTTCTTTAATAAAACGACGCTTGCCAACAAAATACTGGGCGACGATTCGACGAAATCACCGACTTTCATAATCCCCTCGGACGTCAGGGCCACCAGGCGCCCCGTCTCCAATACATTAATAGCGCATTTGAGGTATTTCCTAGATAGCATTTTGGTGATTTCTCAAACTGTAGCCGATATTGCCGGGGGCTACTTAGGTATGTGTTTAAGTATAGATGGATATACAAGCGCTATACATATAGCGATAGAGCTAAGAGCTAGCTTTAGCTGGCCCTGCCAAGAATTGTCGGCTATCCAACTGCCCCGGCATCCCGATCAGATAGGCAAGTGGATACGGATTATATAGAAAAAGGTCTTTGTATAAATTCCATGCAGAAACCCCATAAAAAGCAATAGGCATATACATCATATAGAAGCTTCGTACGTTCGTGGTCATTGAGATACTAGTAGATCAGTAAAGAGATAACAATTCGCGAAATGGGAACGCAAATTCAAAACAATGCAGGGACGTCTTTCATCGGACAATCCCTTCACCTCGTCACCAGGACATCATTCATGCCGTAGACAAATCATTAGATGCTCGCGCGGAGATGAGTCCAACTACATGTTTGCCACGGCGTGGCTCGCTGAAAGTCACAAAGAAGAAGGGGAGATAGAAAGAAGTATCTCCCCCGAGAACGGCTGCTCAACAGTTCCAAGCCAATCCAGTTGGAACAATAAGGGTCAGGATAGGAAGAACGAGCGCCACAGGCGATGCAAAGCGTTGAAAAGACGGGGATCGACGCGATCCTCGTGGGGGGGGGGGGGAATCAAGGGAGGTATTAAGTCAAGAATGAGCGGGAAAGCAAAGAAAACGAATGATCTAATCGACCACCTGGCAGTAGAGTTGAATCTCTCCCACCAAGCCCTTGGCGAGCATGTCACGATGTTGTTCCCGCCACTCCATGAAAGCAAGCTGGACCGCCTCGTCGCTATCAATCGTGACGAAATCACCATCTTCATCGCGGTAGCGCAGTCGAACGGTCTTGTTTCCGATAGATCGATCGGTGAACCGAGCGAGTTTGGCATCCACGCGGTCCGTCAATGAACGGAACAAAATGTTGGTCGCAATGACCAGCGTGACATAGTTGTCGTCAAAATTCACCTTAGCCTTGAGTTGAGTGGGCATGTAGTCTCCATCCTCTGGCTCTTGGGTCAGGGGCGATGTGGCATGATCGGAGAGTTGCCCAGAATGGCGGCTATCGTTATATTCCGGCTCGTTGAAATGCGTGGTGTGGAGTTGGGGCTGGGTACGAAGGGGGAGTTGAGTGTTGGTGGGCGAACCGTTCTGGCTGCGGTTGACGGGGGCTTTCATGTTGGCCATGTGTGCAGGAATCGGTGGCACGGGGACATTGTCGACTGTCTGCATAGTGTGCACTCCCATATAACGCCGTGACTCAGAATTGCTATTGTGGTGATGAATATCAGGGCTACTAGCCGATCGCATCCGCTGGGCCATGCCATTTGCGGAGTGAGCCTGCGGGCCCGAGAGTGGAGGCAATGATGGACGCTGAGCACCTCTTCCACTAGGCTGAGGTGGGAAATATCCGCCAGAGGTTGACCCTTCTCGCGATGTTACACGAGACAACGCTGGTGCTGTGTAGCGAAGGGAATCCTCATTCCAGGCTGATGATGGAGTGGTAGAATTTGTATTCTGACGGCTGAAGGAAAATCCTGCGGATTGAGAACTCGATCTCGTGGAAGGAGTCTCCGCCGTGGGGGAAAAGTAGGAGCTCACGTTTCGATCACCCGGGGACATGCTTCCGTTGCCAGAGAACTGAGTGTGCACCGAAAGCGTTGGATCAGTTCCCGCATAGCGCGGTCGGGTGTTAGGGTGAGGAACAGAGGTGGTGCTGCCACCAGTGGCAGATCGGGTTCTCAGACTAGTACTGGATGCATTTCGGCTCATGGGGAATTCGGAATGGTATGCATCTTTGTTGTTGGCGTCATCGGTATCATACTCTTGTTGATAGGGGTTAGGCATGTGCGCCATGCCCTCCATGTATGTGAACTCGCTGTCGGATGTACCAGTATTGCGCAAATTGCGTCGCTCTGCTTGGATCGCCCGTTGGGTGTCAATGTCCTTGTACCAATTCCGCATGGTGTCTTCGTTTACATATCGGATGATAAAATTGTCGACAACACCAGGGTCTCCTTTCCAGAAAATCTGAATGCGGTAGAGTCCTGTTCGAATCGATTAGAGGCATATTTCTTAACCTAACAAGCCAAGAGTGATACCTACCGGGCTTTTGAAGACAAACAATATCTGTGACGTTGGCCATGTAGATTCGACCCTTCAGTTGAAGACGAGCCTTTCCTTTCGCATTCAACGACGGCTTATCTTTCTGCATCATAAGCTTAGACTTTTGCTTGTTGGGGTTGATATCTTTGCAACAAAGGAGTATTCGCTCGAAGAGATATATATGGTACTAAGGGCCATGTTAGTGATGTGCCATTTCGGGGAACAAAAAAAGCGTAAGACGCAGAAAGTAAGATCACATACCTCTCTCTCGCTATCCTTTCCACTGTCTCCCTTGACAACTTGGAAAGTGCCAAATCGAAGGAGATCTCCAAATGACTCCATCTTCAATGCTTTCCAGTCATCCACGCGCTCAGATAGATCAACTACCGCCGCAGCCAAATGTTCTTTGTGGATTGCCTCGTTAGCAAAGTCCAACACAGTCTGAATACAATTGACTGCATGTGTGATATCGGCCTGGAGTTGCTCGTCTTCTAATTGTTTGCGTAGCTCCTGAGAAGGTACAACCATATTAGTTCGTTGGTCTTGAACCCAGCATGTAGCAAACTTACCAAGAGCATTAGCGGGTATCGAGTCAAACGCTGGAAGGGTTTCACAAAGAAACCATTGAGCGTTTTCGGCTGAGCGACCATTTGTTGCAGATCTATATGGCGTGGCGCATTTTTTATTTTGTCCCATTCCTGCATACAAGCTTCGTCACAACGCATCTGGTTGGCAATGAAAGGCTCATACTGGCGGAAAGCATCTTCATGCAGGAAGAAAAGGTGACCCCAATTCTGCATTTCTTCTGGCAAGGCGTAATGCTGCTCCATGCGAATCAGGAACCGTTGGGCAAAGTCTAGTAGGTTGTTTAAGTTGAGGAAAATCTGATGGCTCGCATCGCCTGTCAAAGCACCCGTCTCTTCCAGTTCCTTCTTGAGCGCTTGGAGGTTCTGCAGGTGATGAACATAGTCACGCTCCGTCTCCAGAAGTTCCTTGAGAATATGCTCTCGCTTGGTAAGCTTCACATTGGTCTTCGCGGAGGGAGCCACTAGAACTTCAGATTGCTTTAATTGACCTTGCATCTCGAGAATGTCCACCACGCGATTGACCATCTTGATCACTTTGATGAATCCGGTGGTACTCTCGCCGTAAAGGTCGGTGATCAAAAAGCAATCTTGTTGAGGGAATGCCAGCTCTTGTAAACAGGCCTGTAGGAACTTGAAGGTCGCCGCTTTGGGACGCTTCGCCTCAGTTACCTTGCCAGTATCAATTTCTAGTGGCTCATCAGGGCCAGACGCATTATAAATGCTCAACAGTGGATAGCCATTTCTGAGACAATTCCACAGGGAAGCCACCGGATCTGTATTCCCTCTTATGCGATCATCATCGTCCATCTCTTGCAGGTATGACTCGAAGTTGGGAACTTCGGATAGCCGCCTCCTCAAATTGACGCAGCTCTGGTAGATCGATTCTCCACCGCGGCGGTTGATAATGTTGTCCTCGGCGACCGGAGCGCCGCTCATGGCTGAAGAGTCTATCATATCGAATTTCCTCGAGGGCCAGATATAGATGAGTTAGACCAGCCAGGCTCAACTTAAATCTGCACAGCAGACCCAAGAGGGATAGGTTCGGAGGGATCGACGAGCGTCGGAAGTGGAAAGATGACGATCATGGGTTCCCCGGGTGGGTGTGAGCTGCGCGGCGCAGGGAGGTGTCAAACAGGAGTTTCGCTCGAAATTCCGGAGACCAACAGCGATACGATCGGTTCTCGGTCGCAGGCGTGATTGGTTTGAATGTGTATCCCGGGAAGCGCTATCAAGAACAGAGGTAACAGATGATAAATATAGGTATATTTGTTTGAACCAATAGCGCGGGTATCAAGTACGATGCACCGTCACTTTCTGGAGGAAAAGGAGGGGCTCGAGGAATATATTCCGACCTGCAGCCAGCCCCAGTCGATGGGGTGTGAGGATTCGAGTGTTTAAACGACCGCTGCAGCCGGGCAGGCGAGTCAAATCAGGTAAAAGAGAGTTCAGAGGAACACCTTTGCGAAAGGGCCAGTCACTAGGACTCAGCGGAGGACAATCGAAGTCCCGATAAAAAAGGGGGCGCACGGAATAGTAGAATAAGAGAAGCCAAAACAATACGGACTCAGCGGTTGAATGAGGCCAAGAACCGAAACGACAGGAGCAAGCACAACAGCCGAGAGTTCTGCTGATGGAACAGAGGAATGGAATCCTTGGAGAGAGGTGAGCCGAAGGAGTCTGTTCAGTGCCTCAAAGGGTTTAGCGTGTGTTTTATGGGGCGGTGTGATGTGGAGAGGGGCAGTTGGCTTTTTGCTTGTGTCAGCAGCCAGTGCCCAGGTGGACCTTCAGGCCTTCTAAGGTTGGGGGCCAGGGCTGGGCAGGGGCCCCGGTGGCGGTTGGGGGCTGGAGGGCTGGAGGGTTGGAGGGTTGGAGAAGAACTACTGATGCTGGACTCTCCCGGCGTAGCACATGAATTTAGAAGAAAAGTCCTACCTTTTGTAGGGGGTCCGCATACAAAAGGTACATTCACTGAACTAGATAAGGAACATTGGAAAATATATACCCACTATTAAAATCTTTCTGTCTATAATGTTATTTTCTCTTGTCTTTAGCGCCTAGAAATGGTCTGTGCAACTATAAGACAGATTTTGTCAGTTCCCTTCGTGACAGCATTATATTAGCACTCAGTATTGGAGAAATGCAATCGGTACTATCCTTTTTCCCCGGGCTATGGCTACCTAGACATGGGGTATGTCCTCTGACCATAGCTATGGGCCCTGGCCGTGCAGAATATAGGTGGAGGTGGATCTAATGGAAGAGGCTATATATATACTAATATACTTCTACGGCAATACAATACTATATGAGACATTGAGTAATCTGCTCGTTATTGACCTCCCGCGTTTCTTGGAGTATTGATATTCTCATTGTCTTTGCCAATAGCCTGCTTTTCTCATGAAGTATAGCTATGTATATTTTGCTATATCCCTATAGACTCGAACCACGTGACCGATGGGGGTGAACAATGTTCATGGATTCCACGCGCGCCTACATAATCAAATATACATATATATTTATTATTACTTCGAGGGGCTCTTGAGGATAACTCTGTATTTAAATTCTAGAAATTCTACTTTTTCCCATTTCGGATTTAAATTGAAGTTCTCCCTTTTTTATTTACTTTGCGACTGAAGTTCGGGATAATCGCGCTCTATCAATCTCCAGGGCTGGTGGGCCCTGCCTCGTCCAAACGTCCCAAACGTGACGTGACATGCACCGAGGCCAACCCATCTGCTCAACCTCCTTCCTTTGCCCAACCCTCCTCTTGCAAAAGGATCCTATCCTCATTTATTAATTTTCTATAATCTCTTCGCGAAAAGTTCCTTGCAGAATTTCGCAGCCATCGCACAACGCCATTGATCTCGGTGTTCGACTCATCAGCTCAGCGCAGACCCCTCTGAAAACCCGCATCAATGGAGGGTGAGCCCTTGCCCGATGCTCCCGATGCTCCTGATGCTCAAATCTCCTCTACACTGCAATTGCAGACAACTACCGTCCCCGAGTTCCCCACGCTTTCTCTGTCACCCTCGTTTAAGCTAGATGAAGGCTACTCGGATGATACTCGAAGCCAGGCCGACAAAGATCTCGGATCGGACAATGTCATGGCGCTTCCAAATTGGGTGCTCGCCCAGTCCGAGGCCGGCAGAGCTGGTAAGATATTCCCTTCCATTTGCCCCTGTCGTAATTGCTACGAGCGCGAAGCATCAGCCTCCTTTGCTTGTCACTTTGCGATTTTCCTTGCTAACCGAGGGTTTCCTACTCCTAGAGCTCGCATACAGCCTTCTTCGGTCTCTAAGAGCCTCAACCATCGCCGCAGTAGTTGATCGACTTAACCCCATCCTCCATATTGACCCATGTGTCAGGCTTCCCCCGGAAGTCACATGGGAGATCTTTACCTACCTCGACGCTCGGACGCTTCTGAATGCCTCGCTTGCATCCCGCTCATGGCGTGAACGTATCCTTGAATCGGGTCTGTGGAGATTCCACTACATCCATGAAGGTTGGGACTTGGACAAGAGCGCGATTCGTGCGTTTGAACAAGAACATTCCGAGGCCATGTCGCCCCAGACCCGGAAGTCCCGCCTACGACACTCGGAGCCAGATCTCGGGGAACCTAAGCATAAAAAGCGCGTGCCGTCGACCTGGCTCGATTCACGAAGCGATGAAAACCAAAGACCGACCGTGTTTGGCCCTGCACCCCCGGTGGCCGACAGTGAAGGTGATCACCATATGACTGATGATGACGATCAAACCGCTCCTTCGTTCGCTGACGACCCGGTGTCCATTCTGCCAACTAATATTTCCCAATTTCCCTCGCCACTGTACCCACCTCTACGATCGCATCTTCTCATTCGGGATACCGACGGAAGCGCCAAAGTCAACTATTTTCATATCTACAAGCAACGCCGGCGGCTCGAAGCAAATTGGCATCAAGGCCGATACACCAATTTCCAACTTCCTGACCCGTCCCACCCAGAAGAGGCCCATCGGGAATGCGTATATGCGATCCAGTTCGAAGGCCGATGGCTAGTCAGCGGGAGCCGAGACAAGACTGTGCGAGTCTGGAACCTGGATACTAAACGACTGTGGCATCCCCCTCTGGTGGGACATATCAAGTCCGTACTTTGCCTGCAATTTGATCCTCGACCCGAGGAAGACATCATCATCTCCGGCAGCAGCGACAAGTCCGTCATCATATGGAAATTCTCCACTGGAGAAAAGATCCATCAAATTGAACAAGCGCATACTGACTCGGTACTCAATCTCAAATTCGATCATCGTTATGTTGTAACATGTTCCAAAGACCGAACTGTGAAGGTATGGAACCGCCGAGATCTTCTACCGAATAGCAAGGATTATCCGCATATCTGCCATGGATCAGGCGCCACATATCCTACATGGATAATAGATCTGAGCTCGATTGCACCGAACGTTCTTGAAGCCGGCATTGCGCATGAGCAATACAAAGTGCTAGAGCCTTACACGTTGCTTATGACCGTGGAAGGACATGGAGCCGCCGTAAATGCGATGCAGATCCATGGTGATGATATTGTGACGGCGTCTGGAGATCGAGTGATCAAGGTCTGGAACATCCGCACTGGTGCTTGCTCCAAGACCTTGCTGGGCCACGAGAAAGGCATCGCATGTGTTGAGTTCGACAGCCGGAGAATCATCAGTGGCAGCAATGATAACTCTGTTCGCATCTACGACCATGCCACCGGAGCTGAGGTGGCGTGTCTGCGAGCTCATAGTAATCTCGTTCGCACCCTTCAGGCAGGGTTTGGTGATGCTCCGGGAGCCGATGAAACCTTGCGCCAAGAAGCACGAGCGTGTGAAGCTGCGTTCTTCGCCGCTCAAGAGGCCGGATTGGACGTCGATATGGGTCATCGGGAGCAACGCCGCAATGGCTACCAACCGAACACTGCGGGATCACGGGACCCTCGCGATATCCCTGCCCTGGGAGCAAAAATCCCACCCGGTGGGGGAGGTAGTAGCTGGGCCCGTATCGTGTCCGGTTCTTACGATGAGTCAATCTTAATCTGGCACAAAGACCGCGATAACAGGTGGACAACGGATCATCAACTGCGACACAGTGATGCTATTGCCAATTCCGCTCGTGCGAACCTCAGCCAAGTGGCACGAACCACTGTTGCGGCCCAGGCTCAACAATTGCAAGCTGCACAGGCTCTGGCGTCACTTGGGCAAAATGCCAATGTCAACCCCCACGCTGGTCGTGCCAGCCCACAATTTGTGCCTCCTCTGGTTATCAATGCTCTGCCACTCAACCCACCTCCTGCTCACCATCATCACCACCATGGTCACCAACGCAGACCCCAAGGGTCCTCGACAGCTGCGAGGGTGTTCAAACTCCAGTTTGACGCACGTAAGCTCATTTGTGCCAGCGTGGACCCTCGCATTGTGGGATGGGATTTTGCCTGCGGTGATGAAGATATCATTGAGGCGAGTCCATTCTTCAAGAGTCTTTAATCTTTCTCGCCTTTACCCCTTTTAATACCAGCATCTGTTCTTGTTTTACTTCAGTTCATCTCCTGCATCGTCCTTACTGGGCGCGAATTGTGAAACCTCTGATGAAAAGACGGCTCAATTCACTTGACGATTTCCCATTATTAGCATCCATGCGATCGCGTTATGTTTTCTTTGCCTGGTGCATTGCTCCTTGCTCTCCCGCTTTCTCCTTCTCTCTCTCCGTGTCCCCCTGTCCTCTCCCTGCCCACCTTCTCAATGTCGTGTCATATACATACGATGGGCCATTGCTTTCTGCTTAATGATGTATTTCTTATCATGACTTCTGTGTTAGGAGTCATTCCTGGCTGTCCAGGTCTTATATCTTTTTCGGAGTTTGTTTCCTATCTTGTTTTCGATCTTATTATTATCTTTCTTGCATGGCGCCGGTGTGGCATTCGATCCATAGCATTATGATTAGTATCAATCAGAAAGTTTCGACTCATGACAATCTCACTTCTTGAATACATAGTTATGTACAAAACCACCTCGGCAGATTTGTCTTGATCTGTCAATTGGAAGGTGGGACCCGGGTGGAAAAAAAAATACGTGACTCATCAGGAACTATATCCCGCAATAACCACTTGGAAGTTCCCCGGACTCGAGTCTGTTAACTTCACTAACCTCACTTGATTTCTACATATCATCATGGCCACTCAAGCCCCAGACTACCACCTCATCGGGCTATACACCCGCTATTCCAGTAAGCAGCATGCAACGATCAATTCATACACCAGCGGACTTGACTGACAACCCCTCTCCAAATAGGCTGGACAGCACGTGTTGAAGCCGTACTGGAATACTTCCAGATTCCCCACACACGCCAGTTCATACAGCTGTCCGAGGTACACCACCCCCATCCCACCCATTCTCCACAAAACCCAAGTATACAGTCACTCACAAAAAACCAAAGACAAAAGCCTACTCCCCAACAGGCCTGGTCCCAATCCTGCAATGCCACTCCCTCCCTTCAGCAACAATAACAGACTCCCTCTCCATCTGCGAATTCCTTGCTGAATCAAACCCAACCCTCCCCCTCTGGCCCAAAGACCGCCACCTGCGCGCCCTAGCCCGCAGCGCCGCAGCCCAAATGCATTCCGGCTTCCCAGTCCTGCGCAATACCTTCCACACAAACTTCCTCGCCAGGTACTCGGGCAACGTGCCGATCCCGGATGGCGCGGCCGCGGAGATTGCGCGCATGTTCCGGATCTGGGATTCGGCGCGGAAGGCGACGACGGAGAGGCTTGCGCTGCTCGGCGAGGTTGATGATGGGTTTTTGTTTGGTGGGTTTAGTATTGCGGATGCGTTCTTTTGGCCGATTCTTTGGGTGGGTTTCTTCTTTTCTTTCTTTCTTTCTTTCTTTCTTTCCAAGAAAAAAGGATAATTGGAGCATTGGCTGACTTTTCTCTAGCGGTTCCGCTCTTATGGTCTTCCGCTAGATGGTGCTGGGCCTGATGCCTTGGCGTGGATGGCGAAGATGTGGAGTGATCCGGTGTTTAAGGCACTGGGGGATAGCTACTATGTGCAGGCTGAGGATCCGCAGACTTGTATTGCGCATTATGATGATATCTTCCGGGATAGGGATGATGTGCAGTATAGTTTGTTTCCGAAGGATTGGACTTTCTCGGTTTCTGGCTGAGGATTATATGAAGGATTGATCGTACAGAGGTCTAACCTATGCGAAATACATACATCAATGAATTGGGTGAAGATTTGTACATTCGAAGGCCTTAAAAGGTTTCCCGTGGTAGCTATGGATGGGAGAAGAACCATCTCATGTACATAGGGTATTTCCTCTGCCGAGGCCTGCCTATTTCGGGGCTTCAATGATAGCGGAGTCTGGGTAAATTTCGGTCAACTTCCAAGGGGGCAAGGGTTTATTTGAGTAGTCTATACCCAAAGGGGTATTCCGACCCACAATGTTATTTAGTATGTTTTAAGAAAGGAATGTTCGGAGAATTCTAGCTCCAGCTACGGAGTATATAGATACGACTATTTCTGGCCGTCATTAGATATATCTCCATAGCTTCTCTACAGCTTCTTCCTCCCCCCGCTGAATGCACGCAGTTTCTTCTCGCTAGATTAAGCACCCGTGATCCCCGAAAGCTTAACGATGAGGACCAGATTTGTTTGGTTGGTGGATACTATAATCGCGTTGATAGTCTCAAGGTCGCTGGTACAGCCACAATGCCAATACTTCGGAACCTTGGCATCGGGCATTTTCACTATAACTGTGCCTTTGTATTGGCTACACAACGCAATGAAGCGCCAAGACGGAGAATCAGATGTCAGAAAATGTCTTATATGCCCGCCGGAACGTAGAGATAGAATGCATCCGGGCCGAATTGAGACCTGGACCCTGCATCACTTAGTGAGAGTCGTGGGGTAATGCATCAAATTCCGTCCAGTCAGATGTCGTCGAATTTCTTCACGGATATTGAGGAAGTCCTCCGGCCATATATGTGACTGAGACAGCAAGTCCTGTCTTGGTATGAGCTCCAAAGGTATAAAAGGTCCTTCGTTGGCCCTCGATTTGATCAACCATCAACCACCATCAACCATCAACCGAACAAAATGCACTCCAGCGCTATCATCCTCGGCCTCATTGGCCTCGCCAGTGCCCAGACACTCAACATCCCCTCCCGCGTGGGTAACATTGTCTCTCTGCCTTCTCCCAGTGTGATCAAGGGCAGTGTTGATCTGGGCAACCGGGAGTACGACCGTGGTCGTGCCTGCAACAACGACGATGATACCGGTATGTCCACAAAAAACGAGTCCAGATAGATGGAGCTAATTGAATATAGGCTCCGACAACGCCGTGTTCATCCTGGAGAATGGAGCTTCCCTGAGCAACGTGATCATTGGAAAGAACCAGCTCGAGGGCATCCACTGCAAGGGATCCTGCACTCTGACCAACGTCTGGTTCCGTGATGTCTGCGAGGTGAGTAGTGCCATGTCAATGTCTATATGTCCTACCAATGCTAATGTGTCCCCTACAGGACGCCATTTCCATCCTCGGCACCGGAAATGCCCTCATCAAGGGTGGTGGTGCTCAAGAAGCTAAGGACAAGGTTGTGCAACACAACGGTGCCGGAACCGTCACCATTGATGGATTCACTGTTGTGAACGCAGGCAAGCTTTACCGCTCGTGCGGCAACTGCAGCAACAACAAGAGCAAGAGCCCTCGCAAGGTTGTTGTCAAGAACGTCAAGGCCAAGAACGTGCCTACCCTGGTCGGAATCAACTCCAACTACGGCGATACGGCCGAGGTCAGCGGCACTTGTGGATCCAGCGTCAAGCATGTCTGCGAGGAGTTCCAGGGAGTGGACAAGTCCGAGAAGAAGGAGAGCCCGAAGCTGACCTCGACTGCTTCCTGCAAGGGACAGTCGTCTCTCTCTTCTTGCTAGGTTCGAGTTAATCACTTGATGGAAGAAGAAAGGGAGGAAGAGGCACATATGAGAGGAGGTTGGTAGATAGATGAGGAGGTAGCTATCATTGTACAACAATATAAAGCGGCGTCAGAAAACCCAAAAACTCCCTAACTCCTCGTAAGTAAACCTGCATGCCACGCTTCTAAATCGATCATCCTATCTATCAAACATTTCCAGTCCAAGCGTTCTTGTCGTGTAAGCACGTGCAAGGTTATAGTGTAGATCGTATAAAGGTAATTTGGACCACTAAGTATATCAGTATGTGGGTTTGCATCGTATCACGAACCTTTACCCTGTTGTGATATAGGAAACATTTCTGCTCATTTCCGGGGATAAGGTAACGGCAAAAGTGCTTATAATAGTTCAAACACCTAAATCGAGCATAGCTATTTTATATAACTTACAGGGCAAACTATTTTGCTATAGCGCATAAGAACATTTGAATAATTCGACAGCCAAACCTGACATACTAGTGTGTTTCAAGGTCCCATAGCATATGTTTGATAGATATATTTGTCGTGGAGTTGCGTGAATTACATTTAAACAAAGGTATGATTTGGACAACACCAGTCTTATTCTAGCTTGGGGATTGATGCCGAGAGCCCATTTAGCTCCGAGCAAACGGAAAGGGAACGAACGCTAAGACGTGGCAGAGGACATCCGGTGTGTACTGGAGCAAGATGCTAGGACATGTTTGAGTTAATAATAAGACCACCCAGCAAGTACGTTCGTGCATTGAGAATTCAGAAAAGAAAGAAAACAGCATCACAGTAGCAAAGCAACAGGTCGTGGAGGCGCATATACTTCAACGAAAGACTATACAGCGGCTGGGTTCACAAGGGTCGGGAACATGACACCGTACAGAGACGAGATCCATGCCTGGAAGCCATGGAGACGAGTATTCTCCTCACTGTTTTCATTGTGAGATCCAGCAGGCGATACCTGGCTCTGGGCGGTTACATATGTTTCCCGCGAGCTGGTTGCTCCGAGAGAATCATCCGGTTCCTCAGCGCTGCCCGGGCAGCAGCAGAGGCAAAGGCAAGTCTGGGATTTCACCCACGACAAAACGTCCGGATAGACAGGCGTGCTTGCGTGAGAGCTTTCATCTGCGCCGCCGCCGCCGCCGCCGCAGCCAGCCATCGTCAAAACAGAATGCAACCGTGATGGATTGGGAGGGAGATGGTCTCCAGTTGCCCTCGTCCCTTGGGCAGAAGATTCCGCTGTATCCGCAGGACCATCTGATCCTGCCAAATTGCGCGACAAGCTGAGAAGTGCTGTGGTTCTGGGCCGCGGTGAGCGGTTTACCACTGCAGGGGTCGGGCTAGATGGAAAGGGGAAACATCGACTAGACGGCGACCTGGCCAGAGGCTGGGCACGCCTGCTTGGGCTTCGCCCAAGACCACCCTTTATCTGTGCAGCTTCAATATAAGGATCATAACTTGTATCTGTGGCTTCGTGGGGGGCAATGGGAAGATTGCGTTGATGGAAAGGGTGTTCATGTAGCTGTCGACCAATGTTCATTCCATGGCCACTTTGTCGATGGGGGAACCGGCCCTGTACCAACGTACCATCTTCGGGTCTTCCTATACCATTAACGAAAATCACACCAGCATGAGACGCAGAAGACGGCAAGCCAAATAATCTTCTTAAGGTGTCGCCATACGAACTGCCACGCTGGCTAGCAGGACCACCACCTTGCAGGTTGACGGGAGACCGTGCACTGTTGTCTGGGATCATGAACCGGGCAGAGATGCTCACGGCCTCTGATGTGCCGAAGGAGGGAAGGCCAGGGGGCGTAGGCGTTCTTTCTGGTGGTGGATATCGAGGTTGGACGGTTGTTACTGCAGGTCCCAAGCTCCCAGGCCATCTAGGCCTGCGGATACTACTATCACCGAGGGAAACAGCCTTGCGATGCAAAGATCGACCGGAGTTTGGTATCGATGTCGTTCTACTCAAAGCAGGTCTCGACCGGTGTGTGGCTTGCCAGTACTGGTCGGACAACAGCTTGGTGTGGTTCCCAAGCTTTCCTACGGTTTTCTGTGGTCTTCCTCGCCTGGCTTGCACATCGGTAGGAGTATGGTCATCCTGTGAATCTGTAGGAACGAATCGGGCCATGTTTACCGCTAAGCCTTGCTCGTGAACGGGGTTCTCATGGGCGAGAGATGCATAGAAACGAGGGCTGGAATCATTTGGTGTGGTGACTCTGATCGCATTGTATATAGATCTTTCATCGCTTAGGATGGACTCAGATGAGTTTGGGTTATCATATGGTGAAATGGAGTCGGAATCGTGAGGAGGGTGTTTTCCTCGTCGGAGGCTCTGTGATTCTGAAAAAAACTGCGAATGAGGGTTACTGGACTGATCGATTCTTCCTCGGGCAAACATCTTGAAGGCAAAAGAGCGAAGCCTGGTCAAGATTAAAATATACTGGGAGAGAGTGATAGGTGGGAATACCAAAGATGAGTATGTGATTTCCTCGAAAACCCTCATCGTGCCTGCCAAGATCAAGCCAAAAAGAAATATTATACAAAACAGTCTATATGTACACTCTTGAATGAATACGCGCTCTAAACCCGAAAACGTTGAATGTCATGATCATAATGGAGTGCCACCTGGACTGGGCATTGGCTTGCCAGTCACTTGGGCGTGCTCCTTTCTTAGGGCTCGCAGCAACCCTTCAATTCTGCGACGCTCTTCTTGTTCGGCCTGGGAGGTGTCAGTTAGTTTGAATAGAGAGAGAAAGGTACAACATCAACTCACCCTCAGTATCTTCATGTTCTCGTTGCGCGTGTCACGCATCATCTTCTTGAACTCATTCTTGAGCACCATAGTAGATGTCGTCTCAGAAGCGCCATCGCGGCCCACAGATGTGGGACTACTCAAGTTCATCCAGCTGATACGTTCTTCCGCCAGTTGTGTCTCAAGTTGCTCGCAACGATCCCGAAGACTGTCAATGAAACTTTCGAAGCGTTCGCGTTCCTTCTCAAACTCGATGCTGGCTTTCGTCATGGCTTCGTAGTCATCAATGGTCTCACGAAGTTCTCTTTCAAGAGTATCCGCCCGCTGCTGAAGATCGCCACCTCCTCGCTGGCTCTTCAGAGCGGCCAGTTCCTCAGTGAGCTCAATATTTCGCGTAACCAGAGCATCGTTCTCCCTTTGAATACTAGGGTTGGATGCCCCCTCTGCCGCGCGCTCGGCTCGGCTACCATAGGCACCATCCAGCTCCGCCTTGGCCATTGTCAGTTCAGTTGTGACCCGCACAATCTCGCCTTCAAGCTCAGTCAACTCATTCTGCAGGCGAGTGGCGTTGTGGTCGGACTGCGCGCGCTGATCATCCGCTTCCTTCATACGGGCATCAGATTGGATCCGGATCTGTTGGATTGCGGCTTCGAGTTGAGACACCTCTTGCTCTGCGCGGTCACGAGCACCCCTAACTTCTTCGGATCTGGAATCGCTATCGTTCTGCAGCGCTTCAACGACGCCCTGCAGGCGTTGGACCTCGTTCTCCGCGCGGTCCCGAGCTTCCTTGACGTCTTCGCCTCGATCGGTGCCATTTTGCAAAGTCTCAACAACGACATGTAGACGCTTGACTTCATCTTCCGCACGGTCGCGGGCCTCTATGGCGTCTTCCATCTTAGCGTCGGTATCGTTTTGCAACGATGCAATGACCACCTGGAGACGCTTGACTTCGTCTTCTGCATGGTTGCGAGCCTCTATGGCCTCTTCCATCTTAGCGTCGGTATCGTTTTGCAACGATGCAATGACCACCTGGAGACGCTTGACTTCGTCTTCTGCATGGTCACACGCCTCGCTGGCCTCTCTGACCTCTTCGCTCTTAGCGTCGTTATCGTTCTGCAACGACGTAACGATGACTTGTAGACGCTTCACTTCATCTTCCGCATGGTCACGAGCCTCTCTGGCCTCCTCGCTCTTAGCGTTGGTATCATTTTGCAATGATGCAATGACGACCTGTAGGCGCTTGACCTCGCCTTCTGCGCGGTCGCGGGCATCACTGACTTCTTCTGCTTTGGCATCGTTGTCTCTCTGCACATCGTCGATGTATTGTTGCAGACGCTTAACCTCGGCCTCTGCTTGATCTTGAGCGTCTCGGGCTTCGCTGACTTCGTTGATCCTGGCATCAGCTTCGGTGTGCAACGAGGTAACAACGCTTTGCAAACGCGCGACTTCGCCCTCGGCCTGAACCAGAGTTGCCTTGGCTTCTTCCTGAGAAGTACCATTGTGGCGCATTGCGTTGAGCTGTCCCATAACAAGAGCCAGCTCGTCACGGTTGGCGTTGCTTTCACGCTCAGATACTTCAAGATCTCTGCGAATTTGGGTCAACTGCTCCGTCAGGTCGCCGATATGGGCATCGCGTTCGGCGTCTGACTTGGAGTTGAGCTCGCGTTGCTGCTGGATTTGCGTGGTGAGAATACTCTTCTGCTCGAGTACTCCATCCACTCGACTCTCCAGGCCATCTACACCAGTCTGGAGGTATGAGAGTTGTTCTTCCAGCCCGTCGCCGTGAGACGCATCAGGGGGCGGAGGCAAGGTTGGCGAACGGGTCAAACCAAACCGGTCAACGATGGTTTGCACTCGATTGTTGATTTCGGTGAGTTGGTGCTTCCAGGCGCCCTCGGCTTCAGGTGAAATACCGCGAGCGGCCACGGGAGCAGGAACGTCTCCCGTATGCAAGACTATATTATTCATGCCATTCTTGATGTAGTCCAAGTGAGCGTCGACCGTTGCTGTGGGATTGACGGGCCCTCCACCCCCTGACAGCTGCGGGGGAGGATCGATGAATTCACCTGGGTTGGACTGTATCATCATGTCATGTATGCGCTCGCTAAGTTCCTCCAATCGTCGCTCTGTAGCCTGCATGGCCTCGGTATTCATTACGGCGGCCGCGTTGGCCTCGATCTTCCCATTCACGCCATAGTTATCCAAATGCTCGGTTGTCCGATAGAGACTGCGATCGTCGAATTTGTGATCATCATAGGCGCTATCCGAAGTGCGCGGAGCAGGGTTCTTAGGACCCTTCTTCAGACCCTTGTGTGTCATCTGTAAGACACCCGCAGTGTGCTCCAGTAAGCGCTGGCTGATCGTCTGAGACCTCTTCTCCAGCTTCCAGAGTTCCTGCGCCAACTCTTCACATCGCCTCTGGCTGACCGCGAGTTCGGAATCGCTCTTGTCAAGGGCTTCAGAAGCCCCACTTCGACCAAATATACCCCGGCTTATCCGGCGTGAGTTCGAACCATCGGCACCGTATTCGCCGCTGCTCCGCGGACTGGGCGGGCTGTAGAGCCTACCGAGAGACTGCGCCGCGTCACGTAGTTTCGTTTCGAGCGCCAGTTTCCGCTTCGTGCCCTGGATGCGAGTGGACAGTAATGTGACTTCCTTCTTCAGCTCTTCCACCTCCTCGAAGGATAGCACTTCGTAATTCGTGCTATCCCCTATGGCGGTCTCGGTCAATAGGTACATGGCGACGGGGTCGTTGGCATTCAGGAGAGCCGAGCTTCGCGGATGACTCGGGTTGAGCTACCAGAAATGAAGAAACCATGGTCAGCTGGAGTCCTGGGTTGGCGTGTGGTGTCTCTACTCACTGGGTTGTATCGCGACCGCTCCTCATGTTGGGGGTCTAGGGCATCCCGGTACCCGTCCACAAGTGTCTTTCCGTGCGGCGGCACCGGAGCTGGAGCATCGGAGGCAGTCATGGTCGAGAGATACCGCGGGTCCCCGTAGGAGGACTGGCTGGAGCGCATACTGATATTCATGGCCGTTCAATGGCCAGGGACTCTCCGATTGGAATGGTTCGTTAGGGGAAATTCAGGAACAGGCGTCACGCATCATGGATTTTGGGGGCGCTGGTGTTTGCGATCGGGAGGAAATGTAGTAGGTCACTCTGAGTTAGGAGAATAGTTGTGGAGAGGGATTGAAGGTTATTTAGCGAAAGTAGAGGCTAATATTAAATAAAAGATGGCGGGGACTGAAGGAGAAAACAGACGATCGGCATCACCTTAGGGTTCAGCCACGGCAATTTCTATGTTTACAATTGCAGTACTCGGTAAGTATAAATGATATGTTCGATTTGAATATAATTGTACACGTATGTTGTAGACATTATACTCCGTAGATGTATCCAAGTAAGCTAACCCCTGAATACGTATACGAGATCTCGGGATAGTTCCAAGGTTGGTCATTTCCACTTTCTTTGTTCTTAAGAGATGATTCGATGATGCGTTTAGAGGAATCCACTATATTGTAGAGATACATATACATTCTACTTTGCACTGTATACCTACTGTATACAATATCCAACAGCTATAACAGTTGTAAATTAATATAATGCTCACATGGTTCAACGCTCAACCCCGCTGTGTAGTACTTGATAGTACTTGTGCAATGTGATGTTACAGTAGAGCTGGTCGAGTACCGCCAAGTACCCCCCGGTTGCATGTACCTCGGATCCCCCAGAGTAACGTGGAAAAAGGCCAATTAAATGTGAGCTGCCCGCTTTGTTTCATTTACTTATAGAGGCCCGCATAGAATGAATTTGCTCTGTCAGAATTGTGGACATGTCGACTTTCGTGCGCTCTCCAGATACAGAGCAGGGCTCTCGACCTATCTACAAGGTCTACAAGCGACGCTTCTGGGGTCTGGCACAGCTGGTATTGCTGAATATCGTCGTTAGTTGGGATGTATGCTCTCCGTTTCGATTAATCCATATATATTGAGTTTGCATGTATGCTGACTCTCATATACAGTGGTTGACCTTCTCGTCCATCTCGACAACGGCCGCGGAGTATTTCGATGTCTCGGAGAGCGCTATTAACTGGATGAGCACTGCCTACCTCTTCGCGTTCTGTGCTGTGAGCCCGTAAGTATGCATTAATCGTCATTTTAAGCAAAAGAAGAAAAAAAACCCCGCTCCAAGTATCCCATTCACTAACCATATTCCCAGCATCGTTATCTGGATCCTGAACAAAGGCGGCCCCAAACCAGCTATAATCACCACCGCCACACTTCTACTAGTCGGCAACTGGCTTAGATATGCCGGTACCAGAGCCAACGGCGGCATCTTCGGGCTCGCGATGTTCGGCCAGATCCTAATAGGCTTCGCGCAGCCCTTCTGCCTCTGCGCACCAACCCGATACAGCGAGCTCTGGTTCTCAGATAAAGGCCGCACGAGCGCAACAGCAGTCGCCAGTCTGGCGAACCCACTCGGCGCAGCCCTGGGCCAGTTAATCGACTCGGAGTGGGCGTCGAAACCCTCTGATATTCCGAATATGGTTTTGTACATCTCGATCATCGTACGTGAAGCCCACCCACCCCCCCCAAAAGCTAATCCACCCATTGGTACTTTCTCTCTTTCTTGCTCACACCATGTAAACAAACAGTCCACTGTCGCAGCAATCCCATCATTCTTCCTCCCAGCATCACCACCAACACCCGCAAGCGCATCCTCCGCAAAGCCGCCCACGCCACTGGGCGCCGCAGTGCGCAAACTAACCAGCACATGGGAATTCTGGCAGATCTTCATCCCATTCTCTGTATACGTGGGCTTCTTCAACAGCGTCTCCTCTTTGCTAAACCAAATCCTCAGTCCGCACGGGTTCTCCGAGACAGAAGCCGGCATTGCAGGCGCCATCCTGATCGTGGTGGGACTCGTCACGTCAGCAATCATGTCACCGATAACAGACCGATACAAGCACTACCTGGGCAGCATCCGGGTGCTAGTGCCCGTGGTAGCAGTCACGTACATCGGACTTATTTTCGCGCCGGGCAGTGCGGCAGGAATCCCGCCTTCGTATGTGGTCATGGCGCTACTGGGCGCGGCGTCTTTCGCGATGCTGCCGATTGTGCTAGAGTACCTGGCTGAGATTACTTATCCGGTCTCGTCCGAGATTGGGAGTACCATCTGCTGGACGGGTGGACAGTTGCTTGGTGCGTGTTTTATTCTAATTCAGGATGCGTTGAAGGCTGGGGCTGGGGGTGCGCCGCCGTATAATATGCGGAATGCGTTGGTGTTTGCCGCTGTGGTTGCTGTTGTGGCTGCCCCGTTTCCGTTGACGATTGGGCTGTTTGGGAGAGATGTTCATCGTCGTAGGTGGGAGGTTGATCGTGGTGTTGAGTTGCAGCAGGTTGGGGAGCTGGCTGGGACGGTTGAGAATGATAATGCTAAGAGGGTTAGGTCTGATGAGTCTGCTGCGGATACTGATACTCTGATCAAGACTTGAGGACTGTGTCGCGATCAGGGTTTTTGGATGTGTGACTCGTCCATGTCAACACTTTGGAAGAGCTGTGACGTTTCGCTCTTTTTTATTGATTGCCGCGCCATAGCTACGGTGCTCTTGACGAGTCTTTATGCTGTCCTCTGATCAGCACAAGCTATACCCTATTCATGTTACCCTAATATCCTTTTGAATTTGCTTGATGCGATTTGGGTCGATATATCAAAGGTTATACATACAAAGTATGCTTTCCCCCCTCCTTTTTCTGCCAAACTGAGAAGGGGGGAGACTATCTACGAAAACAGACATCTGAAAAGACTAACTAATAAGAATCCGAAAAGACCATCTGAGAAGAGTACCATAAAATACTTGACAAGGCCACATAAGCCGCCGACTATTCTTGTCAGTCTTAGTTAGCGAATTGTGCATACTTGTGGATCGATAATCTGGTCATGACAATGCATAACCGACTTATATGCACCCTGTAGTTGGATATGGCTATAAGCCTAGCCTACCAGAGCACAATGCCAATCTAGACAGATGAGATTCGTTTTAAAACAAGAGAATAAACAAAAGCACAGTTCGAACAGGCGGAAGACCAGCTATCTGTACACGCAAGGCTAAAAGAGGAGGGCAAATGATCTATTATTCTTTGTTGCTTCCTCCGAGCCCTCCTCCCTGCCCTGAAAACACAATACATATGCGCACACATACGCAAGGAACGACCAGAAAACAAAATTTCACGTTTCTGGATCGATCCTGCGTTCTCAATCCAAGGCGGCAAGCTACCAGGCTATCAGTCCGCCTTGGCAGCTATCATAAAAGCGGGATTGGTTTTTCTTCCAGCGTTTCAGTCCAAGGGGTTCCCCGTATCGATGCGGTGGAGAGCGAAAGTTATTCGTGGGCCAGATCGATGCGAGGGTTGGTTGGAACGCCGAAATCAAGACTCAATGGAAGAGTCGTTTACTTCAGCTCCCTCCAGAGCTTGGGGGCAGCGCAGGCGGTCACGCAGTGAGTGAGGTGGAAGACTGGGTTATGTTAGTCGCACAATCAGGACTCGATGGGAGGCAATTCCATGGTTTTGTCTGCTTCCACAGTTGGTGTCAATTGCACTTACACTCCTCGACGCAGTCCTCCTTGGGGCCCTTGTAGTCCTCATCCTCCTCCTGGCGGGTGACGCGCTCAACGCACTCGTCGTAGTGGTGCTTGTAGGGAGCGCAGACGGCGGAGTGGGCGCACTCTGAGAGTAATAGTTAGATTCCGATCGAGAAAGCTAGTAGAACTCGTCTTTGCAATGCCATTGGCAGTTTTATAACCCAGGCGCGGATCCTGACATATAAGACCAATTGGTGCGAACAACAACTCACGTCCAACGATCGCATGACATGGGCGACAATGGAACGCGAATAAAAAAAGCAAAAGTCAGAAAAACAGCAAGGTCACTCACCCTCCTCGAGCTTGGGCTTGATGTCCTCAGGCTCATCCTCCTCCTCTTCTTCCTCTTCCTCCTCCTCGGCCTCAGCCTCCTCTTCCTCGGGAGCCTCCTCAGAAGACTCCTCCTCAGCGGGGGTCTCCTCAGCGGACTCGGTCTCGGCGGACTCGGTGGAGGCGGACTCCTCCTTCTCGGCGGGCTCTTCCTGGGTGGTGGTCTCGGTCTCGGTGTCTTGAGCGGGAGCCTCAGCCTGGGCCTCGGTGAACCCGAAGGAGGAGACGACGTCAGAGAAAAAGTCGGAGAGACCCATTGCGACAGAGATCAATTGAATGATGACCGGAGGTCTTGTGTGGGGGTGGGAAAGCGGAAGGGGGTTGTAATTGAGGGAGGTTGTTGGTTTTGCCCAAGAGCTGCTTCTTTCGGACTGGAAAATCGGAAAGGCCCGGCCGCTGAGAGACGCCAATTATGCGGCACGTGATTGGCCAGTGGGCTACAACGCCGTTCGGGACTTGACAAGTACAGTTTATGGGGAAGTTATTACTGGAGTTGTTTCTGCTTGATCTAAGGATCTCGGAGATATGGGATAATTTTGCTATTGTTTGCTGAGAATCAACGTTGGCGAGCATATCAACTCTCCGTATCTCCATTTCTAAGTGGGTAAACACCGCTTTGGTGTCGCTAATTGCTAATTGATGGGGACATAATGTACATGAGATAGAGAATAAAACGTGGCCAGTTCAATATGTGATATAATGGCATGTTGTAATAGACTCCCGAAAGATTAGGTGGCCCGTCGCAGCCGCTCCTCCAGCTCATGGGCTACACTCTGCGACTGAACTTCCTCGTAACATGGAGGCGGCTCCACGGGTTCGGTACCGGTGTCAGATGCTCGACTGCTTTGCGACTCTTCTGGTGTCTGGCTGGGTCTAGCACTTTGACTAGCATTAGGCGGGGCTTCATATGCAGGCAACTCTTCCAAATGAACTGCTGAGAGATCCACATTTTGTTGGCCTCGAGTGCCCTCGCTTGTGTTCTCAACAGCCTGCTCTAGTCGTTCCTTGATCCGCTCGAAGTTGGTGTGGAAGTCAAAAGCTCCGCCCTCCTTGAATGTCACTTTCAACTGAACAGCAGGCAGGGACGGTGAAATGCCACCTCCAGATACTGGTTGCACCAGAGCTGTCCATACATTGGGTCCAAAGAATGGCGCAGATACATGGGAGTCACGGACATTCAAGAGAGGTGACGAGAAGGACTGGAAGTCATTGCTTTTGGATGCGGGAAGGTAGACAACCTGGCGAGGGTTAATATGATGAGAAGATAGGGACATGATGAATGCTGACTCTTTGGTTGGTGAGGTGGATGCAGCCGGCACTGCTTTGGATTGAAAGTTTCTCTGCGCCTTTGTATCCGGACGGCGGAGTCAAAGAGACACTAGTACGAGGAGGGGAGGAGTAGATCAAACGTTCGTTGGGAAGACGGACGAAGCCGTCCTGGTCATCAAGCATTACCCAACTAGGCAGTCAGTATAGATGCTCCAATGTTATATGGGTCTGGTCCTGGCGGGCCCCGGAGAGAAACAGCCATGGGAGCAGAGGCATACTTGAGAGACATGATGCGAGATCATTCCAGGTGCATGTGACACTGTTGTTATCAGCCAAACCCCTAGCAGGAGAATGGTGGTCAGGTTGGATGTCGACCTGGTAGATGAAAGGTGGGGTGTGTGTGGTATTGGGTGTGGACGGCGTGGGGAGGGACCAAAGCAAGGCTGTAGATTTCCCCGAAGACAAGATCAAAAAGCCACTGCTCAGAGGGTCTAGAGGGTTTCGAGTGAAGTACAGACTTGCAATATCAAATCGAGGGAAGTTGAAGTGGAAAGGCGGGGCAGGCGGGGAGACAAACCTGCAGGGGAAACTTCCACGTTGTACGGTGTGGACGGTGTGGAAACTGCTTTTTTTTGGTATGTACTTTGTTTGTAGATCATTTTGATGTTAATTCCAGTATACTATGTAGTTAACTATATCAACTGTGTCTGTGTATATAAAACAACGTTGTCTCCACCATGTTAAGCTTAATGCTGTACGCACTTCAATGCGCTTGGCTATAGCTTCCAGGCCGATCCCATCCAAAAAACTTGGAACCGCATGACGCTTTGATCACCGAATCCCAACACTATGCATATGTGTGTTGGGATTATTTGATTGGAAAGTTGAAAGGTTCATCTCATACTGGGATGTTATCTTGTCATGTCGCAAATGTCGCAATATTTAATAATGTTATGGCCTGTGCTCAGCTGGAAGGGGGTTAGAAGAGGTTCAGAGCTTTTATTAGTGTGACTGATCATATTATTAGCTTATGTAGCATGTAACAGTTGCATATACATAGAGAGAACAAGAGAGTTACTTCAGTTTCAACGTTCAAAGTTCAATCATACGTTGTTCTAACTCGTTTCCAAAATGTCACGTTCTAGAAGCGTCCGAGCCAAAGCGCGCTAACCTTGGAAGACGCTCAAACCTTCCAGTTTCGAACTTCAACTCTTCCCCTCTTCTTATGTTTCTCCCTTGATTTCATGTTCTGATACCCTGTCTCTCAAATATATTGGATAGCCTGTGGTGATCTGAGGCTCGAAACAGCCAAGTAGGTGGATCCCAAGCTCTTCCGGTTAGCGGTACTTATGTTCATCTTTTCTCCAAGGACTTCATGTCGAGATCATAACCCATTCACGACCCTTTGACGACCCTCCAGCCTTCTTTCCCTCGGAAACTGCCCATCGGGCTTCTACGGCACAATGGGAGAAAAAGGCCAGTACATCCCACCCCTCGTGGGGTGGATGTATGATTTGGTCCTTTGGTCATTCTCCGTGCTCATCGACCTCTTCTTCCGCGAAGTCCACCCCCGAGGCTCATGGAAGATCCCCCGCCGCGGTCCCATCATTCTGGTGGCAGCTCCCCATGCGAACCAGGTATGCCGCTCGCTTCCGGTCACAGCACACACACACAAGATGCTAATGATGGATGTTCGCCCAGTTCGTGGATTCTTTGGTGTTGATGCGCGTCATTCGCAGCGAAGCGCAACGTCGGATCTCATGGCTTATCGCGGACAAGTCTTTCAAACGCAGGTTCATCGGATTTCTCGCGAGAGCAGTTGGGACGCTGCCCGTGGCACGTGCTATGGACAACTTGAAACCCGGGACCGGCACCATCTATCTTCCCGACCCGATCAACGAGCCAACTCTGCTGCGAGGTGTTGGAACCAACTTTGAAGGAAAGGGTTTCGAGAAGGACGGAACTATTGCCCTACCCACCATCAACGGAACGTCACACAGTACTGCGATCGCCGAGATCAAAGGACCGGAGGAATTGGTGCTCAAGAAGCCTTTCAAGCACAGGGATGCGCTGGCCCAGCTTACTGGACGGCAAGATATTGACAGTGACGGAAACTTCACTGGAGATGCATCCGAGCAGAATCCGGATTTCAAGGGTACCAAATTCAAGGTTGCTCCCCATGTGGATCAGACCGCAGTCTATCAGGCAGTATTCAAAAGACTAGGCACAGGCGGTTGTGTTGGTATCTTCCCGGAAGGTGGAAGTCATGATCGCACTACACTGCTTCCCTTGAAAGGTAAGCTCTTCGTGTTCAAGAGGTCCGAACGATTTACTGACATGATACAGCTGGTGTCGCCCTGATGGCTCTAGGCACCCTGGCTGAAAACCCTGACTGTGGTTTGAAGATCGTGCCTTGTGGCATGAACTATTTCCATGCCCACAAGTTCCGCTCCAGGGCCGTTATTGAGTTTGGTACTCCAATTGACATTCCCTCGGAATTGGTGGAGCAGTTCAAGCAAGGCGAACGACGGGAGTCTGTCGGTGCTCTGCTGGAAATCATCTACGGAAGTCTCGTCTCAGTCACTGTCACTAGTCCCGATTATGAAACTCTTATGGTAAGCTTCTTTCCGTTTCGGGAAATATGTTTCCGCTAACAGTTCAAAGGTCATCCAAGCTGCCCGTCGTCTATACAACACCAAAGGCAAAAATCTTCCTCTTCCTATGGTTGTGGAGCTGAACCGCCGTCTTGTGAAAGGTTATGCCCACTTCAAAGACGATCCCCGGATCGTCGAACTACGTAAGTCTATTGTAGGATATAACAAACAGCTTCGTCTTCTTGGAATCCGGGATCACCAAGTGGCCTACGCCAAGTTCTCCATCTTGCAGGTGGTGGCCACGTTGGTTTATCGCCTGGGCAAATTAGTACTCCTGGCAATCGGGACGCTCCCCGGCTTCCTGCTCTTCACCCCCGTCTTCATCGCGACCAAGTACCTCTCCGCAAAGAAGTCCAAGGAAGCACTGGCTGCTTCTACAGTGAAACTTCAAGGCCGAGATGTCATGGCCACATGGAAGCTTCTTATTGCCCTTGCATTTGCTCCGGCACTCTATGCCTTTTACACTGCTGCCCTCACTTATTGGACGTACTGGAACCGAGTCAATGGAATGGTTCCAGACTGGGTGCCACTTTGGTCGGTAGTGATGATCGGCATGGTGCTCTTCCCCACAATCACGTTTGCGGCTCTTCGAATCGGTGAAGTGGGCATGGACATCATTAAGTCACTACGCCCGCTTGTTCTATCTCTGAACCCATCATCGGCCAACACGCTGGTGAAACTTCGAGAGAGACGCGCTGCACTAGCTCATCAAGTGACAGACGCGATCAATACCATGGGACCTGAGCTATTCCCCGACTTTGATGCTGCTCGGGTTGTCACCGATCCATTCCGAGAAACGAGCAAGCCCGATACCACGACCGACAACGGACCGCCGGAGATCAGAAGAACCAGCGTGTCAGACCATGCCATGAAAATGCCCTCCTCAGAGCCCCTGCCCCGCAACGAGTCCTTCCACAACCTGGCCAACATTGGCTTCTTCTCTACGCGACCTCCTAGTCGTAATCGTAGCCGCAGCAGATCTGCTAGCGCCCGACCTGGGTCTCGGCACGGACTGAAGCCGCTCAGCTCTCTCACCCCGAAAGACCCGCTTGAGGACGTCAGTTCACGGATCCGTGATGCTATGAGGGAGCGTGGAGAGCGTCGTCGGCGTCGAAGCGAAGATGGAAGTTGGGATATGGCCAGCTCGGGCCCTGGAACTCCATCCAGCACTGAGGAGTCCCGAAAAGATCTTTGAGATGTGGACTGCCTTGATCATTTAATCCTTTATCATCCCGAGCATCAACCACGGTGTTCAGCGCGAAGCTGTGTATGTATTTGCTCTTATATAACCATGCAAGATATCCTCTCTGTTTTTTATGAATATGAATGTCATCAAACATCCACCTTGGGGGTCAGCTAATTATAGTTGAAGAAATCTTGTGATTATGAATGTACATCCTGGGCGATTCAGCACACGACAACTGTCCTATAGTCACAGACGGTATAAGATGTAGATACGAATGTCATATCCAAAGGCAACATACTTTTATGGCTATAGGTACCATCCAAGATAAACCAATTATGAAAAGTTAGTGATCTTGGCTGGGCTGATCTTGGCTAGGCTGATCTTGGCTCATGATTCGTTTTTGCCTCGCCACTTCCTTCCACAGGGCTTAAGAGCAAGGGGGCAAAAACAGAGCCCCTTAGAATCTAAAATTGCACATGAAAATAGTGTAGCCTAGGTAATTGCATCGCCTCAAAATCTAAAAATTGCCCTTAGCAAAGACTGTCATAACTGACCACGTCGCGGTTTGTAGTACAAAGCCAAATCCGGCCAGCCGCTACCCGTGCGCCTTTTATCTTCTTCTACTCCGTATCCAGTCTCTACCCCAACTCCTCCATTTTTCTGCGGAGTTTAGGGGGTTTATATTCCTTTTCACATATTCATCATGTCGGGTTCAATGCATATGTCGCGTCTCCGGAACTGGTTCCTCTCCTCTCCGCCTGCCGAGTACGCCATCACGAGCCTCAAGGAATTGCTGATCGGCGCACTCCAACAGGGCCCTGTCCCCCAGCATGTGGCCTTTGTCATGGATGGAAACAGGCGCTTTGCCCGGTCACATGGAATTGAGACAGTGGAGGGACACAATCTGGGGTTTGAAGCTCTTGCAAGAGTGAGTGCTACATTTTGGCAGCTCGGCGTTACACGGCAGCACCCGTATTATAGCCGATACTAACGACTAATAGATCCTCGAAGTCTGCTACAAGAGCGGAGTGAAGGTAGTTACGATCTACGCGTTCAGTATCGAGAACTTCAAACGCTCGAAATTCGAGGTGGATGCGCTCATGGAAATGGCCAAGGTGAAGCTGTCCCAGATGGCTCAACACGGAGACCTGCTCGATCGATACGGAGCAAAGGTTCGCATCCTGGGCCGCCTTGACATGCTCAAACCCGACGTTTTGGAGGCCGTCAACAAAGCTGTCGACATGACCAGCCGCAACGGAGACCGCGTCCTGAATATCTGCTTTCCCTACACCTCCCGCGACGAGATCACCTCCGCTATCCGCGACACGGTCGAGGATTATACCACGCCGATCCAACAGGGTCGCTCCGCGGCTGCTGCTTCCCGCTTCTCGGAATCCCATATCACACATAATATCCGCGCGCAGACGCTCGGCTCGACAACACATGAATCACACAGTGATTCTGAGTCTACGTCTGGCTCTTCGGGGCAAGATGATGACACATTTCCCCGGCATGAGTACTCCGACCGAGTCTACGGGTCGATGTCTTCCTGCTCGTCTTCCACAACCCTCCACCTCGGAAATCAGCAAGACCCCAAGGGCGGCTCACCACCGAGGCCTGCGGCTGAGACAGATAGCCCAGTCTACATCTCCCCCGAAACCATCTCTCGTCAGACTCTAAACGACCACATGTTGACCAAGGGTACTCCGCCCCTGGATATCCTGGTCCGCACTTCGGGCGTCGAACGGCTGAGTGACTTTATGCTCTGGCAGACTCATGAGAACACGGAGATTGTGTTCCTCGATGTCATGTGGCCAGAGTTCGACCTGTGGCACTTCCTACCCGTGATGCTCGGATGGCAGAGGCGGATTTCCAAGTCCCGACAGGATCCCAACGCAGAGGGGAACTTTGCCGGCGACACAAAATCAAGCGAGGAAGGTCCAGACGCAATGCTGTGGCGTCAAGCTGAAAAGGTCAAAGACATCTAGTAAATTGTCTGTTTATATACCCTGTGTCTACTTGTTTTTGTTCAGCTTCAGCATCACTGGCGTCTTGCTTTTTGCGGAGTTTCTGTTGGGCACGCCTGACTTGATATCATCATATACCTATGCATCGCCGTACACTACATCGGTCCTCGGTAAATAGAATATCATCTACTTCATAATCCCCCACATCCTATACACCAGATCCATCCATCGATGGACACGTTTGATGTACAAGAATATGTGCCCTTTTTGCTTCTCCGGCTTTTTTCTTCCATGGAGCTCATGAATTATCTTTCTTCTCCGTCTCTCGCTCTCTTTATTACAATAAATCATAATAAATACAAGGATGTCCTTTTCAATGAGACTCCCTTTCTCAGTGTGAAAACATTTAGCTACAAACAGCAGGCGGTGAAAAGTGACATTTTGATGTCCACCCCGCGCCGATACCGGTTCACGTGATGTTGAGTCACCTGCCGTGTACCGGTCCCACAGAGAAGGACTGCAGGATTGTATCCAGTTGAACTACCCCAATATCATCTATTATACCAATTAATTCAAAATGGTCAAGCAAATCGCCGGTTCCAAGGCCCTCCTTTTGGGTTCGGGCTTCGGTATGCCTCCCGTCTCTCCGAATCTCCCAGACCCTAATGCGTCATACTGCCCCGCATCGAGCATCTAGGGTCATACATATGCTAATTACTGATTTCTGGTAGTCACCAAGCCCACTGTTGAGGTCCTCAGCAAGGCTGATGTCGAGGTCACTGTTGGTACGTCCAATTGAATCTATACGGACCCATTTTGCATTGAACATCGCTGACGATGCGGTAACAGCCTGCCGTACCCTCGAGAGCGCCCAGGCCCTTGCCTCTGGCTTCAAGAATGCTAAGGCCATCTCTCTTGATGTCAACGATGATGCCGCCCTCGACGCTGCCCTGAACAAGGCCGATGTTGTTATTTCGCTTATCCCATACACTTTCCACGCTACTGTCATCAAGTCTGCTATCCGCACTAAGGTAACTATTCTTTCTATACAGGAAACGGAGACCTTACTAATTCACTATTCAACAATAGACTAACGTGGTCACAACCTCATACGTTTCCCCTGCGATGTTGGAGTTGGATGAGCAGTGCCGCGAGGCTGGTATCACAGTCATGAACGAGATCGGTCTCGACCCTGGTCTCGATCACCTCTGTAAGTGTCGATACCATTGATATAAACAAACCGACGCTTATAATAAATAGACGCAGTCAAGACCATTCACGAGGTCCACGAGGCTGGCGGCAAGGTTACCGGATTCGTTTCCTTCTGTGGAGGGTTCGTCCGATCATTACCATGTTCTATAGATGGTATAGCTAACAAACAACAGCTTGCCCGCCCCCGAATGCTCCAACAACCCCTTGGGATACAAGGTTAGCAAAAGTCCAATTCTCACCCATTTGATAAATAACTGACACATGGCTGTTTCAAGTTCTCGTGGTCTAGGTTAGCAAAAGTCCAATGCTGAGTTTCTGCTTGAACAAATGACTAACTAGCTCAGCCGCGGTGTGCTTCTTGCCCTCCGTAACGCTGCCAAGATCTACCAAGGTAGGTATTTTATTTACATATAACAGGAGCCAAAGAGTGCTAATACGGAATACAGATGGTGAGATCGTGTCCATCGACGGCCCCGATCTGATGGCTACCGCTAAGCCCTTCTTCATCTACCCCGGATTCGCTTTCGTCGGCTACCCTAACCGCGATTCTGTATGACATATATGCATTCAAATACTTTGATTTCAGTCGACTAATATTTCCAGACTCCCTTCCGCGAGCGCTACGGTATCCCCGAGGCCCAGACCGTTATCCGCGGTACCCTTCGCTACCAAGGCTTCCCCGAGATGATCAAGGTCCTTGTCGACATTGGTTTCCTCAACGACGCGCCTAACAGCGTCTTCGATAAGGCCACTTCATGGAAGGAGGCCACCAAGGAGGTTCTCGGCGCGACCTCTTCCTCCGAGAAGGATCTCCAGTGGGCCATCGCATCCAAGACTAAGTTCCCTAACAACGACGAGCGTGATCGTCTCCTCTCCGGCCTGCGCTGGATTGGTCTCTTCTCCGACGAGCAGACCATCCCCCGCGGAAACGCCCTCGACACCCTCTGCGCTACCCTCGAGCAGAAGATGCAGTACGGTCCCGACGAGCGTGACCTTGTTATGCTCCAGCACAAGTTCGAGATCGAGAACAAGGACGGCTCCAAGGAGACCCGTACCTCCACCCTGTGCGAGTACGGTAACCCCGTCAGCTCTGCTATGGCCCGCACCGTTGGTATTCCTTGCGGTGTTGCTGTTAAGCAGGTTCTCGATGGTACTATCAGCAAGACTGTATGTTTATCTTTATCCCGTTTGCTCTCGAGGTTTTATTTACTTACTTTGTTATAGGGTGTTATCGCTCCCGTCACTTGGGACATCTGTGCTCCTCTTATCAAGACCCTGAAGGAGGACTACGGTATGGAGCTCATTGAGCGCACTCTGTAGGGGTGTAGTCGGATCTTACAATTGAATATATTCGGCTGTTTAAAAAAAGTAGGAATGACATAGACGATGAATGAAATAACAGTGTGCATTGCTATTCTATATTCCACCCAATCAATGGGACGTATATGCGTTTATGTAGACCGACTCATCATTCACGATAAGGCTTGGATCCATCTTCCCAAAGTCTAGTCACCTAGCCATTGGTTTCTCCGATAATTGACTCTTTATCGGAGTAGTTAGTACACAGTGCTGCGGAGGAGAGGTTACAGCAAGAGCAATCTACTCGGTGCAAGATGTGCAGAAAGTTGAGAGAAGAGGAGCGAGAAAGTCATCGATCTCTTAGCGGGCTTCTTTGGAAGAGGCAGAACGCAGCTCCATCCATCCCGGTATCAGAGACCTTAGAAGGATGTCCTGATGTGTTCTTCCCAAAGAGACAGACCCGTCAACAGCAGGAGTGAATCTCAGAGTCCGCTATCTTAGAACCTCCGATGTGCTCGAAAGCCCGATGCTACCACAAGGACAAACAAAGCCCGACAATATGAGAGTAACCAGGATACCATCTATCAAAGGAGCTCAAATCAAAACATAAACTTATCTTCATTATCATAGACATAACACCATTCCTCTTATCATATCATCATTGAGCCCCAAGAGACCCAACACACAACTGCAAGGGCCACCCGGGTGGAAAAAGAAAAGAGACACGAATTGAACAAGAAAGCAGGCGAATAATCTAGTTGCGCTCTTTGCAATCTTTATCTGTGGCCAATTCATGGAGAGAGAAAAAGAGGAAAGAAGTTCTTCGAATGCATTTTTTTGTGTGTCTTTCATGCCACCGGTAAGAGATATAGTCGATCAGAGAATACTGCCAAAACTACACCAACGAGAACAACGAGGATGATTAGTAACTGATTCCAGTATTGCGAGGTTCTTGGGGAACGCTGGGATCTGTAGACAGGGCCGGATTGGCAAAGGGGTCCAAGGATTAAAAAAAAAAAATAGAAGGGGGTAATCACAAGAGATGAATGTGTAGACAAGACAAGGGAGGAGATGAAAAAGATGGGGGAAAAGAGGAGAGAGGACATACCCGAAAGTCTGCTTAATGCTCCGAACATAGTACATGTCCCAGTTCTGCTTGGTGACATCCTCCTGACCAACGGGAACACCAGACCAAGAAACACGCATCTGAGTAACACCGTCGATATCATTCTGATCGAAGTTGATTTCCTGCGAACTGAAGTGACCCTCGGGCCACTGAGCAAGACGCCACTTCTGGACAATCTGCTTGGGCTCGTTAAGCGTGACGAACTCGCCAGTCACGTTTCCGTCAAAGATAGCGAATTTGCCGCCAACCTTAGCGCCCTCGAACTGGCGCGGAGCGCCGCGCGTGAACGCCGTGATGCGCTGCGGGTCCGTGAAGGTGTTGTAGAGCTCGGCTGCTGTGGTGCGGAACTCGTCCGAGGCCGTCACGGTGGTTGTGTTGACGGCGACCTTACCGGTCTTCGAGGTGGAGGTTGACTGCGCGGCGGGGGTGTCGGCCTTGGTTTGCGGGTGGACGGCGGCCTTGGGGAAGCCGCTGGATGGGTTGACGCCCGGGGCGTGCTGGAGGTCCTTGCCATGCTCGGTGATCAGGGCGGGGGTGAGGCCGGATAGGGCCTTGCGGAGTTCGACGACGAGCTTTGTGCGCACCAGGTCCTTTACGGGCTGCTTGGTGTTGGAGTCGGCGTGGTTTTCAATCTCGAACTGCAGGGTGGGTTTTACATGGTTAGTGTTACAGATCACCTTGGCGATGGGGATTGGGTCAAGTGAACATACGACGTACTCATCTTCCTCGGTGTCGTGGGCTACCTCGGGAATGCTGATGGTGCCGCTGACATCCTCTTCGTCCTTGGTCTTACCTATGGAAGCGTCTCAGCTGCCAGGTCCACAAGAGAGAAAAAAAAAACAAGACATTGAAATAAAGCTGAATTGATATTGGACTACAAACCTGAGTATTCTAGCGAGACCTTGACATCGAACAGAGTGATGACCTTGCCCTTGCGCTGGCTGACATCTACGTCGCCATCCATGGACAACACCTTGTCTACTTTGGCTGACACGCCCCCTTCCTCGACACTGATGCCGACAAGGTTCTTTTGCAAGTACTCCTTGGCCCAGCCAGAGGCATCCTTGTTGACCCAGTGCCAGTTGTTGGGGTTGTGAAGGACCATGATGAATGTTGACTAGGGGAATGAAAGAAAACTCTGATTTGGGGTTGGAAAGTGGGTGCTTCCTGTTTTTAAAAAGAAAATCTTTTGGAGAAAAAGTGTGCTAAAAGTTCTGTTGGAAATTCCTGTTAGCCATGATCTTTTTCTCGCAGTGGATGAAATTTGCATGTAAGGAAAGGCCAATGTCAGGTCTCGGGGCGTATCCCGGACTTGTTAAGCGTTGTCCGCAAGTAGATGGAGAATCATCTCTCAGACTGGTGCCAGCTGAAGTCTCTTCATGTA